ATTGATGATGATGATAACGTGTAGTGGAGAATAAGTTGTCAAAAATATTCCAAATTGTTTAAGTACATTAACTGCTTGCATTATTCCTTCAAATATTGCAATATTACTGCCCCAAATAAATAATTTTGATATTCATATTTCTCAATTTTTTGAAAAACATACATATAACTTCCTCAATACAGTTCAAGCTCGAACTTCGCTCAAGCGCTCATCAGTATTTCAAGTGTTCAATAGCGTGCGAAAGTGCACAGCAATTTGCATGTTCCAAATGTCTACCAATTTCCTCATGGAACGTTTTACCGCTCTCCTGACAAATTGTGATATGGAACAATTTTTTTTAACTTCAATTTTTCACAAATTTGAGTAGTTTTTGCCTAATTTTGCAAAATCTACGGCCAATTTTAAAAAAAGAATTTTTCAAAAACGTCTTCAGCATTTTTTTTTTGAAAGATCTTGAGACACTTAAAAAACCGTGCAGGTCTGATTCCAGGCGAACTTTGTAATTTCAAAAATAACAAAAAATGCTTGTTTTTGCTACATTGCAAAACTACATGTTTGAGTATAGTGATTTTTTCTTAATTAAATAGGTTCTTAAAATTAGGTAATGAAATAACGTCATGTATATTTTTATGAAAAAAAAACCAGTAGTTTTCGCGTAATATTTGTTTGAAATTAATGCAGTGTTTAAACAGATTCTCAAAAACGTCTCTAAATATTTTCTTTACATTGTTCTCGAGTAGAAAAAAGGACGCTTAAAAATGGTGCAGGATCCTTTTTATTGCAAACTCTTTGTATTTTCGAAAATTGCAAACAAAACTTAAACTTCCAAAATTACTTGTAGAATATAGGTAATAGAGATATTTTTCTTAGAGAATTTTGTTCTTTACATCTAGATCTCAAAGAGAGGGAAAACGTATCTGAATGTTAAACATTGCAAATGCAAAAGTTAAAGAGTCTTTTTTAGGCGCCGAGTAGGTTCTGTTTTTTAGGGGTAACGTGACTTACGTGTTAACTTTAAGGACCTGTTTGCGAATTCCAGCGCAGCGTCAAATGTTTTGCTGGTTGGAAACACTGTTCCAGGTTCGTGTAGTATTACAATTTTGCGAAGTCGTTGCAAATAATACGAATAAGTGAGTACTGTTGTGGCACTAATTAACATTGAATGGAGAAATCTTACACATTTGTTTGGGAAACTAAAAACAGAAAATTATGTAAATATGTTTGAAAGAAAATCGTTTACTATATGACACACGAAACTTCGATATCTAATACGGATTAAAAAGTACATCTAACCTTAGAATTGTGAGTAGTCCATTGTTATCAGCACAATGCTCTAAACTGTCACAAAAAAGATAATTTCTTTCCTAAATATCAGCTTTTTGTGTTGAATACCTAGTTCTCTTCCGTTCGGCGGGTGGAAGAGAACAATCGTAAAAGTTACGAAATAGTGAGTTGTTTCTATTCAATGCTAATGAGTATTTGTTAGAGGCCACGTCACGAATGCTGCATCCTGTAATAGCAGCGTGACGACGATTCATGTGTTACGCCGTGAAGAAACAATTAAATTGCCGGCCGGCGTGTATTTTTTGTAATCAAATTGGTATGACTTTATATTCTTTATTTGTTATATTATAACTCTTTCAATGTGGTCACACTGGTCAGGAGAAAATATGCACCATGAGAACATGAGCTTACAATAGTCGCAGCTATTGGAGAGTATCCAGGCGGTTGCATTCGCAGTTATTCCGCAGTCTGGAGGAACGTTCTACACACATTAATGCTACAGAAATGATATAATGTAAGTATACCGTGTTTCGATTTAGTCTAGTAATTCAAAAAGAACATGCTTAATCGTAGTGTAGGGTGTATTGGAAGCTGCGTTTTCAAAACCACACAGTTTCCAGTGGGCTTATTATAGATGTCTGTGAAATTTGGTCGATATAAACTCAGTCCACATTACACAGGAAATCATTTTTATTATTTTTCTTTTCATCCCAAGGGATCAGGGCGTAGAGTAATTTTTCATCTGATAATTCATTTTGTCCAGAATCTCTTTAGTCGAAAGTTACAAACGAAAATCTTGTAATATGTAGTATACGGAGTACGCAATTCGAAATGTGAAGTACTCGTGTAATTTTGGTTAATACCAAAATTACAAAGCAGTTTAGCTCAGAGACAGCATTGCCGCTGTATCTGCAGCGATTCCCAAGGGGGGGGGAGTACAAGGGTTCGAGTCCCGACGGTGGCACATTTTTTTGTCACTACCTAGAAATCTAGGTTGAATTCAATTGCTTTCTCCAATAGAATTCTACAGGCCGGTTGCCCCGACCTCTAGTTTTCTTTTGTTTTTCCGGTTGACGCGTCGCGTACATTTTGGCTTGACGGAGACTTCTCCCCTACGTATATTCCTCAGCGGGGCACATCTCCAACCGTGATGCACCCTAAGCTGGTCTCCCAACATGTGTGGTTGTGTAGTGCATGTGAGTCTGTGTGTAAGGGGAGGGGATACGAGGAAAGGGAAGGAAAGAGCGCGACCCCCGTGGCCCGTTGGTACGTTACTGCTGCCACATTCGCCTGGTGGGCATCAATTGATGTCCTGAGCCACTTGAGCAGGACCCAATCTGAAGGACGAATCTAAAGGGCCGATGCTCTAATCGGTAATTTTCTATGGATTCGCCGGTCAATATCAGGCGAATGTAGAAACATTTCTTTCACAAATGAAGCAGTATCTTCCTTTTCTCATCTTAGTCCTCTCCTCTTCCCTTATACACACACACACACACACACACAAATGCACAATACTCCCACACACTTCGTGATACCAGTGAAGAGCTTAGCGCTTGTCCCAGCTGAAGGGTTGCCCGGCTGGCGAAGACAAGTGGATGAAGAAACTGTTTCAAGTGGACGTGTAGGTCGGCGGCGAATCTTACATTCTTGCGGGAAGGGAACACCGCCACCTCCTGGAATATAACAAGAACCATACTGACGGGACTAATGATCATACTAGTTGACACACCGTGAAACACTAAAATCACTCAATCATCTACTCATTAGATCACGACTCATGCATCTCAATGATCTTAGTAATTAAATTGTCCCTAAACCTGAATAAACAGAAAACATGTTCAGTCTCATGTTATTATCTGCCTCAAAGAAACGTCCCATCGTCTTGTAATATATTGATGTCATCACTGCGGAGACTAATACCGGTCAACAGTACGTTATTCTATTTTGACGACGTCCAAGGAAGTAAATTAATTCAGTGGAGAAAAAATTGAAGAAACATTTTTGAGCGGTTTTTGAAAAGAAATGTTTAAGGAAATATTAAATGGCTATATTTCGTGCAAAATTACACAAAAACGACTCATATTTTCAAAAAATTGAAACACCTTATTTCACGATCACTCATTAAAGAATACATTTCATTAACAAAAAAATCAATCATCAATATTGTAGTTATGGGAAGACGCCTCCAAAAAAATTGCACTTTAGCAATTTCCGAAAAATATGGGATTTTAACGAACATGAGACCTGCTCCATTCTCTTAAGCAACCTTTACGCTATCTGAGGACAAAGTTTAATAAAAAAACGTTATCCATTTTTGAGAAAATTTTGAAAATGCTTTTGAGGCTTCATATAAAGTATCTTCAACAATCAAAATATCCGTTTGAAATTCCCAAAGCTTGGAGTTCGTTTACAATGATCGTAGAATATCAGTTTTGGAGAAAATTGGCTGATCGGTTTAGGCGCTTGTGTTGACCATATACGGACAGACGGACAAACTGACGTTTTGCCGTTAATCGATTTTTTTGGTATAAAGGATACGCAAAACATTGATTCTGGCTACACCAGTGTTAGAGAAAGTAATTTTCTATTTATAACAACAGGATTTATCGATTTTTTCGTTACCAGGATCCGGCAATATGAGTTTTTCTGCCGAAAATTCGCCGTTTTCCGACGCAACTTTCTCTTCTAACGATGTAAGTGAGATAAAGTAAAAATGATGCAGAGTTTGAATGTTGTGAATAAAAGGAAAAATCAAAACATAGAATATCGAAATATTGTCTCAGACCTTGACGATAATACAGAAAGGTTAAAAGAAAAAATATGGAGTGGCTTGTAGGAAGATTTTACGTCACTTTGTCGATACACAATTCACAATTTGATGACGTGAGGTATCAGATAATTTCGTAAGTTTCCGATTGGAACGCAAGAAAATACTGACTTATCATTTGACCAAACTTCGCTTTATTGTTGTGGACAACATCAGAAGGCAACTTTCCATGTGACCCGAAACATATACAAAATATTAATTGATTTACCTGTATTTAATGAAGGATACTGTTTAAAACAAGTTCGTCAATAAAACATACCGACATAAGTTGAAGGCCAACATGACCAATTAAAGGCGATACCATCACTGGTACTCCAATCTTTCATTCACATGTTTGGCTATCGTCCTCTTGATGCCTAATGTCTTGCGTTTTCACATATCTTGGAATGTGGTGAAATACGCGTGACTTTGAATGCACACAAACGTGCTTCTGTTTGGAAATCACAAGCCCTTGAACATTTTTGCAAAGTACTTTTCACAGGCTCTGCCTCCTCAAAGTTAGCGAGAAAACTGGTAAGGCGCACAGCATGAGTTTTGCAAAAACAGTTCGTATTAAATAGTCTCAATTATTAAGTATTGGAAATGAAGTATATTGTAGATATTGGTTATCTGTCTTGAAAATTATATTCATGAAAGCATAACTGAAATATGCAAGAAACAGCATTAACAACAATGCTATTAAATGAGTTGAATCCTATGAATTTTGCTGGCGAAGATGGAGTCATTTTTTGCACGCCCATGTAATAGATGAAACGGTCTGGGGGTCATCGCTTACTGAGAGATGTGTTTTCCTTTTTTTAACTGCACCGTTTCGTAAAGGCTTTGCTGGTTCAAAGTTCAGTGTCTATTTTCTATCCTGATAAAAGCATCGCCTGCTAAGTGCCCAATGTTTCCGCTTCCACTCGCATTCACCGAAGATCACGTGTCGTACGTAGTTGGGCATTCGGCTACACTTCTGACATTTATTTAAACCCAGTCAAAAGTTGTTTTACAGTAATGAACATAATAATTTGCGTCATGCATGAATGTAATAAACATGTTCCGATTGAATATATAGTGGTTTATATTCACGTGAATTTCTCTTGTAAACCAATTCTTTATGTATTTGCATTCTATCAAACATTCGAATTTAATTTGCCACATTTGAAGGTGTGAAAAATTGCTGAGAATAGCATGTGCGCATGTTGAACATTATTTTCTAGCTCTGTTCTACAAAAATGATTTGAGTTTTTCAATTTTATTAGAAAATTAGTCAACAAGAGAATATGTTGCAATAAAAGTTAACCTAAATTGGTTCTGATGCATTTATTACTGGTTTTCAGAACCATCATGGTGCTCGAAAAAAATGAAGCGATAATTGATAACAGCGCATTGGAGTTGAAGCTACCTCTCGGTGAATCTCTCAGGTAAGTTTTTTATTTGTCTTAAATACATACCGTAATTTAAAACATATATCAGTGTATCATTGCAAGAAGTAAAAAGTAACGATAAAAGTAACAAAATTAAACAAATTCGAATGATTTTACTTAACATGTGCTTGTAAAATCAAATTATATGAATTCATACTTACAATGTTTAACATTTGAGATAACCAATGAAATATTAAAAATTTCCAATAAAAAACTGATTTACACTGTATTAACGTAGGGAATATTAACGTACAATATAGGAGAATATATGAGGGAAAAGCGGAGAATATAAGTACATACGATGTATTATTATTTTATAATATAATGGTGTTCCCAAGTGAATATCACATGATGGAAGTTGTTGAAGAGGAGAAATAAATATGATCGGAAACATTTTTATAAAGAATTATGGAGATTAAAACCAAAACACTGAACCTTTTATTTAACGAAACAGATAAAAAACAATGTAGTGAAAACTATTGAGATAGCAGTTTTAATAACTTTTTTACTTGGAGAAACTGACGTACCAATTTAAGAAATCAAATCATATAGAAGTGATTGATAAATACAATGATACACATATAAAAGTAACCAGAAGAACCTTATAACTCTGTTCCTAGCGATCCAGTAGCTGTATGTATTATGTTTTGGTAATTTGTGTACGTTAAATGTACGTTCAAATATCGGAAGTTGTAATTATTAAAGAATATGAACAAATGTTTATGTTTATCATCTGTTCTTGAGGTGAATAAAATGGCGGTACCATAATTCTTGCCTGGGGATATCAGATTATCTGACACTTTTCTACTAGCCGATACCAGGTGAGGGTATATATGGTATATTTGTACGTTTGTTTTTTGTTACTCAACACACATTTTCTTTGACGGAATCATTAGTTACTGGTTTCCGTTGGCCAGGGAATATCATTCTGTATAAACACTTGCAAGAAAACGTCAGTTAATACCACGGTAAATATCGGCAAAGATGTAGGTCTATATATTTTTCAAATGCCTATGAATCGAAAGCAAGTTTCACTGACATATTTGTCTATGTTAAACAGTAAATAAAGCGTTTAAACCATGGTCAAAATGTAAAATTTATATTTAAAAAAACAGTCTAAATTGAAAAAACTATCATACAAAACGTGATATGCCGATTTGTCTACAGCACCCTAAAATTAGGCTAAGACACTTCTCGAATCTCTTTCTCGATTATTATTGATAAATTGTCTTTTAGTTGTTTATATTTTTAACTAAGTAGAATTAAATAAACGCAACTGGATTCAATGGAAACAATAAATAATTATGTTCATCTTATTAAAAAAGATGATTGCTTAATTTCGCGTATCTAATACAAAATTATCTGTTACTTGGAATTTGGCTTTCCAGGCATTGCATAAAAAACTTTGAAATGCACAATGTATTGGCAGAGAATAACTTGTGAGCTAATAGATTAAGAATATAAGCATAATTAGTAGCACATAGTGGTACATACTGAAAAAACAATTTTACTGAAAACTTCATTTCTGTATTGACTGCATTAAAAAACTTGCGAGTGTGGTGACATGTGCCGCTCTCAATCGTGTTCTGTTAATTTGAATATGTCTGTTGAGTAATTTTAATGTGTTTTGTTGCGTATAATTATTTCAAGTTTACATTTTGTATTCATTCCTGACTTGAATGTGCTTATTCAAATGCTATTGAATCGTTTTGGAAGATTGAAAATGTACGTTTCTCTATTTATTACACGCACTTGACTCAAGTAGTGAACAGAGAATGAATTCCCAATACGTGAGAATTTGAGAATTATCATTTCTGTTCCAAATTCCACGTACAACGATTACAATTTGATTGTACATAATCTGAATTAAATACGAAAGACATTCTAAGTGAATATGTGGAAACAACGCTTTGAGCAAATACCTCAGTTCTTGGAATAAATAATATCATTCCAGCCAATATGTAGACAACAATATTTCGGCACACTTACCTCTCAACAATTCAAACTTCTACAATCCTTGTAAAAAATCTCCTGTTTCGAAGAAACTTTTACACACGTTTGATTCACGTGCAGGATTATAAATTTAATTTAAATTAAAAACAAATTATATAAACAACATTATATAATACTTATGCATACGTTACAAGCAAACGGAAGATTCCAAATTGACAAAATTTTCCACTACATTCATTCATCTCAGGCCACCCTAGGATATCATTATTCAAACTCATAATATTAATACTTGTTCCTTGCCACACCAGTAATACTTGCAACATTCTTATCTCTTTTCCCTTCAGAGTCATATGCCAGTTCTGTTACCTGCTAAATCTACCTGTTATGAGACAACATGAAATGGTGATCAGCCGACATTCGTGGAAAAAACATTTGACTGAAACATTACGGTACTAGATGTAGCTGTATAACTGTCAGCCGCTTATTTCGCTTTATATTTTACAATCTTTGAAAAATAAATATTATGAATTTAAAAATTTACCTTTCACAAACCGCCATCGTTTCCTAAAAAACTTGTTAAGAACTTCTGAAAAATTAACATCTGATCTTGAAAAATCCTCGATAATGATTGCACGAACTTACAAACCCATCCGTATCTCATCCTCACTGGGGTGGTTCCCGCCGATCATTTTGGAGGGGCAATCATCATTTTTCTTCAATAATAAATATTTTTATAATACTGTATAGTATTTTTTTGTGTGTATATGAAACGATACAATATTATTTTTAAATAATTACAAAATTCTCTCAGAGGCCTTTCGGGAGGGGACATGGCCCACGTGCCCCCTGGCGGATGTAGGGAGTGCCTCCCCTTGGATGCGCCGCTCTACTCAACAAGGAGTGAATTCAAAATTCCGATACATCCCTTTGAATTTACCAAGTTTGGCAATGTTGGAGGTATTTTGCGAATGTGCATTCTCACCTGAGATACGGAATAATATTTTTGGGGGAGCGCATCCTGTAGAACCAAAACTGTTAAATTTCAGAAAAAATTCGATTAATTAACAAATGCCATCCATACGATTGCCACACATGCCATCGACCTGCAAACGTCTCTTCATTGAGTTTGAAATCTTACATATTTATTTACCAATCTGTAGTTTTTGTCAAAAATGACTTTACATATTTTCATATCCGGAGGAAAAATATTTTCTTGGAATACTGATATATTTAATTATAAGAGATATCGTAAAAATCACATTCAAGTGTCAGGATCATCAGCCCACTACACGAAATCTACATATACTATATACACCTTAGTTTACAACACATTGCCATATCACCTTAAACAATTAAAATAGATGCACACCTAAAAATAAAATATTTTCCATTTCATAACTGTCACTATGCTACTGCGGTCTACACTGATCATCAAGAAGAAAAATAATGTTTGTTTTAACAATGATACATAATACATTAGTTTATATTTGTATTATATAATTTTTTTAATACTTGATATACCTGTAACAAGAAATGTACTTCAGCTTCTTGGTCAACGGTCCCTATCTCGATCAGGTATGCATCACGAGAATGCTGAGATGATCCCTTGCTTTGCTTCTGGACGTAAATGTAGCTTCACTAAGCGTACGTTTTGATGAGCTCTCCTTTTGCTTGTAGTGGTAGAAGTAGAGCCGGGGGTATGGGTATTGTTAGAAATACCAACAAATGAAATCTGTAGTTCCTGCAAATCATTTTTTATAATGTTAAAATGTCTATTTTTAAATGTTACTAACCTCCCTTTGTCAGTAAAAATTCATTTTGAACTATTTATAGTTAAAAATGGGAAAGAGATTCCAAAGCTCAAGAACACTTGCGCAGATTGTACTTCGATCCCGTACGTCATATACAGTTTTTATTGTTCTTTGACAAAATAAATCAAATCAAATCAAGATAGAAACATACTAATTCCCGAAACGTTGCAACAATGTATCTATTTTTATCAAAATTTGTAATAAATTGTTATTGATTTGTACTTCTGTGAAAATTTTTTCTTTTAATGTTTTATAAATTGTCTTGCATTAAACCAAGGGCCAAAACCTAAAGTAAAATGTTAGAATTTAAAAGGACGGTTGAATATTAACTTAATGAACACAATATTTTCTTACGTGATGATTCCAGGTGGAGTGGTTCAGTTTACCTCCATTACCAGATAACTTCACTCTACCCCACCGTGGAACCGCATTTCTTCTTTTCAACTCCCATTATTTTCTTTTGCGCCTCGAACCTACTACGTCTTAATACGCCTTAGTAGTCGTTAGAGTATGCATTTTTATACGGAGTCTCTAGAAGAGCCTGGTGTGAAATGTCGCCACCTATCTTCGCGGCAATATATGGACAATTATTTTTATCGAACGCTCTATTTTGCGCAAGCAAGTTTTAGAAGAGCACAAGGCATCCCAAGCGCCATTCCCAGACCACCGCGTAAGAACGCAGTACGATTAATCTTACCCCCTTGAAAGACATGTGATGTAACTACTTGTTCGATACAATTAAGATAAATATTCGACATATACCTCTTAAAACCCAAGTGCAGGTAATAAAATATACCACAGAATGATGTTCCCTTTTTACTTTCTCGTATACATACGTATAAACGGAGTAATATAAGTAGTATAGAGAAATTTATGTCATGCTCTGGAAAATAGCCTTCCATATTTCAACGGAAATACACGTTTTGGGGTCCTCTGATATCGAAAAAGTATTTTTTTCAAAACATCCGTTCGTCTGTCGCTCTACCCGTCCGTCTGTCTGCCCGCCCGTCCGTCTATCCGACCGTCTGTCCGGTGTATGTGAACAACAGGAGCGCCTAAACCATGTGTAGAATTTTTCCAAATTGAACAAAAAAACTGTCGATCAGGCCTCAGTCGAAGCTCTGCAATTTTGAACAGCATTCATTAATTTTTAGGAGTTATTTGCATATAGCTTCTGAAACATTTTCAAAATTTTCTCAAAAATAGCTCCAATTTTTTTCTTCAAATTTCTTGTAAGAATGGAGTAAAATACCCTAATAAAGGTGCCATCGGTTCGAATTTCACTGATAACTCTGAATTTTCGATAATTGCAAAAGTCTGAATTTTTGGGGCGTCTTCCTACAAGCACAAAAACGAAAAAAATGGAGATATCTTTCAAATGAAATTTGTTCTCCATAATAATTAGCTCTTTCATTAACGTCATGTACATTTTTTTTTGAAAATTTTAGTAGTTTTCGCGCAATACTGTGTGAAATATGAGCTATTTAAAAAATAACGATTTTCCCAAAAACGGCTAATTTTTTTATTTAAATTTTTTGTAGGGATAGTGCCTAATGTATTCTTTGAGATGACATAAACGCCATGTAGCTCTATTCTTTTGTTTTTCACAAATTACAAAAATGTAATTATTTTTACTTCTCTCACGTCGTTAATACAATAGCGGCAATTTGTTCACATTAATACATTTAAGAGTACATGTGCTTTAAATAATGTCATATAAAGTTTTTCGAAAACTCAAACATTTTCTGTGAAAACGAACTCAAAATTCTGCATTTTCAGAATTGACCGTTTATAGCAAAGACTGCGTCATCATCCAGAGGGAATCTGAGTTAATAGTGGTTCCCACAGCCAACCACCGTTTTTCTCACATGTTAAATACGCGTGACGCCATTATACCGAAGTTCGTGTTGCCAATTACAAAACTCCACTAACGAAATTGTTTCCAAAAATAACTTTCATCATTTTATAAATGTACAAGCGGAACCCCCGGCAGACGTTGTTCTGCCGACCATCTCCCTCTTTCTTCTTCCCTCTCTCTTTCTCTCTCTTCGTCTCTGTCTCTCTCCGTCTCTCTCTCCCTCTCTCTTCGTCTCTCTCCGTCTCTGTCCCTGTCTGTCTGTCTCTGTCTCTGAGTCTCTCTCTTTGTCTCTGCCTCATAATAATATCGTGTCAACCTTACAGTTACCATAACGTTACAAGAAATAGTTGTCTCTAATGTCCTAGAAGTTGATGCGACCTGAAGTAACAAAAATAACGAAAAACTTATATAGTAAGGGAGATTGTTGTACTTTCAAATATTTTAATTCATTAGAAGCACAAATAACTTTTCTTCTCTTTCTTCATGTTTTCAATATATACAAAAATATTAAAAAGGACATTAGTATGGAAAGGACATACATGTGTCTACTTGTAAGCTTGCGGTGTGTGCACGATATATGCTAGTCTTTATGGCATTAGAGCGGATTGTTGATTCTCATTTTTCGCCCGCAGATTTTGTTTCTGCGTTTCATTCAAGCACGTGATTAAATACGATTGCTACTAATTTTCGAGATACCTCCAAATCACCACTAAACTTCTCCGTTGGGACAGAAAGTGATAATTTTTAATTAATTAATTACTCTGTTTCTTTCGTGTTTTAGCAATGGAGACACCAAGATGGCAGTGGTGGCGACGGACATCCCACGAAACAATGAGTCATCCATGGTCTTGACTCCGACCGATGACCACCCGCGAATGGTGCGCCACCCGACTTCGTAAGTCCAAGTTATGATACTCGCTCTGCTTTGTTAGTTCCAATGTAAACGAAATGAAACACGAAGTTCGAAGAATATTCTGAAAAGATTTCACTTGTTAGATAAGAGATTTTGGAAATGAAAGTCGTCCCCATGCCGTAGAGCGGGATGCATTCTACGTTATTTGAATGGGCTGCATACACAGCTTTCTATGCCCATCACCTGTTAATGATGAATTCGTAAAGAATAGACTTGGATGTAACCGGGTATCATTATAAATAAATTATATTATCGATAAAAAACTTCGCAATTAATATACTTTAACTTTCTCGTCTTCGCGTACTTAATTAGTAAAGAGAAAGAATGGTATTGCTGCGGAAGAAATTAGAGAGTTTTTAACAGAAAAACTCGTATTGTGAGAACCTGATATCGAAAAATTAATAAAACCTGTATATAATAGATTACTTCCGGTAACACGTTGTGTAGTCAGAATCCGAGTTTTCAGAGTATTTTATTCCAAAAAATTGGTTGACGGGAAAACGTCTATTCATATGTCCGCCAGTTCATACGTCTGTTTGTCTGATTGTGGTTAATGCTAAAATGATTTTCTCCAAAATTAAAATACCCCTGTCGATCTGACCGCACTCTAGGCCTTACGTGTTTGAAATGGATATTCTGATTTTTAAAGCTTCTTTTACATTTTCAATATTTCTCTGAAATGACTCCAAATTATGGAATTTTTTTCTCAAAAATCGCTTAAAAATTGCGCAGTCTCATTTCCACTCTACTGTTAAAATTTTTGAAAATTGCAAAAGTTCAAAATGTTTCCGGTGGCTTCTTACAACTATGCCTTTTCAAGTTCAAAATGGGAAGAAACAATTTCAAATTGGGTACTAACACACTTAATGTGAGAATAAATACAGGTGGAGTATGGGGAATAAACAAAAGAATTTGAGACGTGATTTCAAATTGAGAAAAAAAAAGTTGAATCGGCTAGTATTTTATTTGTCGATGTTAACAAAAATATCTTACATTTCTCCGTGTATGGGTAAGGTAATTGCCTTATAAGGATTTGCATAAAGAATACGGAAGCTAAGATAAACAAAATACAAATTTGTGCAGTGTATAATAATAATGGAGGCTGGAGAGGGTTCGCTAATACACTCGGAGTTAAGGGATCAACTGCTTATCGGTGGGTAAAAAGTCAAGACGAAATAGCACGCCTGAAGCCTAATAGAAGCTTGACAATGAGTGGGGTACTGAGAAACTGGTGGGGGCAGCGTGCTGCTATTAGGGTTTTGTTCGGCAGTTATTAACTTTGCAAATAATATGACCCTTAACATTTGATTTCATAAATTAGTTGTTTTGTTTTGTTTTGTTTGTGTGTTGTTTTTTGCTGGAAATATATTTTTTTAATCTCTTACTTTCGCGTGAACACAATTGTATCTTCCGTTAAAGTAAAAGTTGTCAACGTAACGGACTTCCGTCAATGCAAAAGTTAGCTTTGACAAGGATTAAAATCCCGACGCATGCAAATCGGTTGTACACTACATTCTGTAGTTTTCCTCGTCCAATAATTATTTTAAAGAAGTAAAATGTATGTGATATTTCAGACATATATGCCGCCTCTCTTAATTTGCAACCCAACGGCCGCCCCTGAATCTGTGTTGATACAATTATAATTTATTTCTACCAACTTTTCAAGTTATAACAAAACATACATCTATTTTAGGTGTGGTTCAATTGGCATAAATGATTTTATATGAACCTAAAGAAATGACTTGCACAATGGATCAGATGTACTTTGTCTTTAGCAGCAAATTTGTCATGACTGTAAAACTACTAATACACCAAATGATCATACTAAAAATAGAATTTCACACAGTTCACATATTTGATCCCTCCTTGGTCCGACCCCAAGGGCCTTCCGTTATCCAGACATCTCTATGAATTGAACTATTGAATCAAACAACATTCATGACAATTTACTTGCAAGGAAAATGCAATCAACTTGCGTATTTGCACTTTGTTATAATCCATGTTAAATAGTTTAAAAAATGACAATTTAATCAGGCCTATAATTTATGTAAGTAGTACCATGAAACTAGTACATTTGGAATTCGGACGGATTTCATAGCCCTACCACATTTAAACACTTTATTAAGTCTGATTAAATGTAATTTTTAAATTTGTAACAATTCAATTACATACACAGTCAATTATTTTGACACCTTTAAAATTATTAGAAGCGTACAGGAATTTCTTCCTCTAGATTGTAGATAGGGGTAGAGATTCTAATATTATATTTATGCATCCAGCAGCGTGTCATTCAGCCATCTGATCGGCAAGAACTAAGAACAGTTTTATTATTATTATTATTATTATTATTATTATTATTATTATTATTATTATTATTATTATTATTTGACATTCGGGCTCTCACAAGGGAGGTTCATGGTCAGAGGTTGCAATTTTTTCTAGCTGAATCTTTCTTATGTATTTAGTACTTGTATCCATCTTCAAGCTAAAACATTAATTTCCTATTAAAATATGTTAACCTCTTTTAATAAAAAATATTATTTTAGTCTAAAGATGGATAAAAATATATACCCTAAACTAGCCGTGTCAAACCGTGCCCGCCTTGCCCGCCTACGGAGCCCGCCATTCTTGCGAGCACGAGCCACTTCCCCTCACTCCTCTCATTTCCCCTCCAAATCCAGAAAGGGGCGTACACGAGCAAGCCGAAGCTAAGCGAGGCATGGCTTAGTGGCTACATACGAAATTTCAGAACTGTCAGACTTGTTCTATCAAGCATGCGAGATTTGAACGATGGTTATCATTTTTACTATTAATTACTATTTTATGTTTATTTTCTTTTAAAATTCAGCGTTATGCAAAGATGATTGCTAAGTTGTGAGAATATGTTTAATAGGCGAATTCTTTCTGTTTTCGTTTTCTGTTATAATTTATTAAATCATTCAGTTATTTATGAATCTAGCAATGTGGCATATTATATTGTGAATAAATATGTATAAGTTAACAATTCTCGCTTGCGGAAAGACAGATCTTTTAAAAGACGGTTAAAGATTTGTTAAAGATCCAAATCTTAACTTAGGAAGTGAATCCTTCCTAAGTAAATATATAACGAAATCAAGATACTTTCGATTTAAAATGTTTAATTTCTCTTTGAATTGACATTTTAAAACCTGACTGATGTATTATTCAATTTGCTTTAGTACATGAAATTGGAAATAAAGTAGCTAAATTTGGAGCAATAAATGTCTACTGACTTCTTGAAAAGACTGCCGTGCGCCAAATAGCCAGTGATGTACCGACATCCCGGAGCGACTTGCACAAGCCTTACTTTTAAACCTCGCGCCAGTTGCTCTGGCCGTAGTGCCCGCGAGCTCTAGTATGCTATTTACCTTGCCTGACATGCCTGACCTAAAAGTTAAGGCGGCTCCACACATTCGGCATTCGCCGAGCAACGAGCTACTGCTCGCCCAATTCCTAACAGCTGATGGGTTCGGCGAATGTTCGCTCCCTTTGACGTGTCCTAAAGACCGACATGCGGTGGGTAGGGCGAGCACCGAATGTTCGTCACTCGGCAAACAGCAAGCAACTCATCCATAGTATCGGGGATTCGGCTAGCTGTTGCTCGTTACTCGCCGAATAACGTCTGGAGCCGCCTTTACAGTAATGTAATTATCAGAACAATAGTGACAAATCAAATAGTAGAACAATTTTAAGTTTGAACTGTGTTAAAATATAATTTTTTTGTGGATAAACTGAAGGCCCAGAATAAAAAGTAAAATTTTAGCTACACATATGCATTGGAAATATATGTTTTTTCTAATTCCCGAAAATTATCGCGGAACGTCTTGGTGGGTTTGTATAGCCTTAGTTCTTAGGACCACGTTAAGAGCGGGCCGTGGTACTCTTCCTGCCATCTGCCGGGTGTTGGCTTCTTCAAAAACAACAGCAGAATTGACCTTGCTTTCGAGTCGATAGAGGAGTTGTCACTATCACAAGTTCTATTATTTGTTTTTAATTCTAAACCAGTTCATTAGTACATCCATATTCTAAGTGTGCTTATTTTACTTTTTTCTTCTTTTACAAATTCCAAAGTTTGTAGAAAGTATATTGATGAGCTATTAATATTTATTTGCGTTCTTTATGATTTTCGTTACTTTTGGAGGTAAAGCACCGATAATTAAGATAAGAGAAAACTAAACGCGATTGGAAAGAAAACTCTCACAGAAAGAATATTAATATTGGTTGTTTATAATTATGCTTGGGGCTCTTGAGTGGCTCAAGGTCAGCGTGCTAGTTTTCCGTGGTGCGATTCGTGGTTGGCACAAAAATTGAGCTGTCGCTTTCTATTACAATCGTCTCAGTTTCTATGGCAGTATGATGAACGAAAATCTCAGGTAGGCCAAGTATACTAGATAAGGCGAAGAGAATTTGTCATGCACGTCGCATGTCTCCCTTAACCTCAGGCGTGGATAATAAAGAAAACTAGTGGTCCTACAACAGCACATAATTTCTTACTTTACTTCTAGCTTTTGTAACTTTTTAAAATATTTCAACGAAAATGAAGCCTATACCATTCTTTTAAGCGTTCTATAGAAGAAGATCTTCTATAGATATCGTTCGTAGAAGAAGAAAAAATGTGGGGCAGTTTTTGAGAAAATTATTTTTTTAATAATTTTTTAAAACTTCCAGCAGAAATTGCCTAAAAACTACCCTTTTTAAAAAGCAATGTGCATTCCCTTTTTTAAATGTCTTTGATTTAAAACAGATTTTATTTTAGACATTTTTTATATTTGAATGTTTTTTCTAGGCCTTTTATCAAGCCGACAGCCGGTTACCCGTTACGTCCCGATGGGACGCATATTCCACCATACACTAGATACCAACACACTTGCGGGATCCTCTGATCTGGGGGCAGCAGAACGCGAGGCCTTCCGTGACAAAATAATCGTGAGAGACAAGAGATAAACAACCATGCCTAAGGCGGGACTCAAACCCGCGACCCTTCAGACCGAAGCGCTGAGCAGGTACATGCTCTTAGCCAACTCAGCCATTCAGGTCGGCGATATTTTAATATGATATATGATATTTTTGATATATGATTGATATTCTTTGATCGATGTAACGGTATTCGAGGCCCTCTGATTTTGAAAGGGATATTTTGATTTGGGGGGATATTTTGAGTTTTATTATATAGGATTGCTGGGTCCCTCCAGAAATTTTGAGGAGGCCCTTGCTCCCCCCCTGCCCCGTTCTGTCCCGTTCTGCGCAGGCGTATGAATTTCTGCAAACAAGTTAAAAATAATGCTAGAAAATATGTGCTATTGATCACCATTAGCTTCATGTAAGTTGAACGTTACAAAATATTATTCGAAATGTTATAAATATAAACAAAAATGTATGAATTATTATAATTGTTACTTTTAAAAGACATTTAACTAGATGTTAAAATTGCTATCACATTTTTGGATGAATTGCAACTGTACGTAGATCTGCGTTTGAGCGATGAAACATACGTATGGTAGATCCTCCCATCGCCTTGCCCGAAGGACGGGGAAGGAGTGATCGCGCGTGCTCCGTTACCCTTTCTTTAAAGAATTTCTCGACGTCTCATCTAGGCAACGGTAGTTCCATACCCCGAGTCGGAAGTTTTGCTGGAAGTTGGCGATGTTGCGAAGTGCCGTCGGGAGAGGATTGGCGGAGGCGGAGGCTGAGCTGTGGCGTTGCAGGTACCTGGAGACGCTGACGCACCTGCTGCGCGGGAACATCGGCTCGGGGCTGTTCGCCATGGGGGACGCCTTCCGCAACGCGGGGCTGCTGCTGGCGCCCGCCGTCACGCTCTTCCTGGGGGTCATCTGCGTCCACAGCCAGCACCTGCTGGTCAGTACGCCCGCGCGCCGCCCAACCATTACGCTCCGTAAAGGACGAATATTAGGGCTTTTGCAAGCCGACAGCCGCAAACCCTTATCGTCCCAGTGGGAAGCATATTCGACCATGCAATAGACACCAATACACTTACGGGCTCCTCTGCTCTGGGATAAGCAGAACGCGAGACCCTCCGCGACAATACACACTTGTACATAAGAGACAAGAGACAACCAACCATGCCCAAGGCGGGACTCGAACCCGCGACCCTTCAGACCGAAGCGCTGAGTCCGTACACGCCCTTAGCAACCTCGGCCATCCGCATTGGCTAAGGACAAAGGACGAATATTCATTTGGCACACAATTACTTGAAAATAGCTTCCATTCGCACACTCGATGTCAAACACTAGTTGTTCACAGAAGTAAAACTCGTATTGAAATGTTAGTAGGAAAAACGATAGAGAATGTTAGAAGAAATAATTTATTGGAATTGAACACCGATACGTTCAATGTCGAGTCCTTTATATTTTCAGGCGGATTGTCTTTCGATGTGCTTTTCGGTCGCGTTTTTTCTTTCGATAATCTGTCCAGTGTAGTTTGAGTCGCCTCTTGGAAGGTTTTGCAATTTTCGCGGGTGATGTCGGTCGGCTGTGGCGATAACGCCCGCCTCGCCCTGTACACGGCTGAGCGTCACCCGTGAAGTACAGTTCCACCCACATTCACTTCGTCTGTCAAATTGCATTCTGCTCATTGATTCTCTCAGAACATCAACTATTTTCACATAGAAAGTACAATGAAAAATTCTATTTTGTTTTAAAAATTAAAGAAATCAATACACATGTTACACTCAAATAGCGAACTCCGTCAGTGACCGAAATGTTTACCCACGAGACGAGGATGAACAAAATATCCACAATGCGTCCTGTATATTTCTATTTCTTACTATGGTAAATGGAATACCTCCAGAGCGTTATACGAAAAAAATAATTACTCCATTACTGATTTGAACTTTAATTTTGGCCATTGAAATACGAAGACTCTCAACGTATTGTGCGTAAACAGATTTCGTCAATCGCCAATTAATATGAACTTTAATTCTATATTGCTGTTGTAGTGCTTTATCAGCGATTTTGTATAATCTCTAGTCATTATGAATAGTTACCATATGAGGTAGTCAAAGAGATTAATTAATATCTTTGTTCAGTCATTATGCACAATTGATGTAGTGTATCTGTTTGCTTTTAGGGCGCAGTAAGTAAACACTCACAAAGCGAAAATTATTATTTTGACCAACTTAAAGTAGTTGTTATGCATAATGGACAGAGAAATTGATTAACATTTGTAGACAATTTGACTAGAATGACTGTCACTAACATTGGCTAGATATTATGTATAATGGCAAGATAAAATGATTAATTCAGCTTCAATAATCATGTTGATCAATTCTGGGAGATATGAGTAGATTATTCATAATGGCTAGATTACTTACTTTGACTGTAACATTTATATCACTAAAATTTCCCATGTCTGGAGCTTGTACTACGATAGAATACCGCCGTGGGACTCACCTGGCGTAAGAGCGACCCTACTTCAATGAAAGTGTCCTTCTTTCACTCCTTAATGTTCTCCGCACCTCCACATTCACCGCGTGTATTGAGCAGCCTCCCTTTCTGCCGTTCAGGATTCGTCTACGGGAGGATTATGAATGTAGTTAAATATTGTAGTGTCATAGCGTTTTGCTTTATCGGACGTAAAGACATTGGAAATGAACTCGACTCACTGAGAGCGCTGCTGTCGCAGAATAATTTGAAAAGGTTGCCCGCAGCCATTATCGTGTTAGAAACGTGCTTAGAACGTGGGAAGAGGATCCTTAGTACTTAGTACTGCTAGTACTTCCTGACGATAACCAGTTAGTCGTGATGGTTAAGAGTTGTGCGGCGTATACTGCACGAACAAATTCGATAAATTCATGCCAGTGACAATTTGTTTGTTGAAAGCCATATTATTTTATTGGTGAAAGCTATAGTGAGTCTATACATGAGAATTAGGTTGTACCATATAGCAACTTCTTACAGTCTGACACTCCACGAATAATTTTTGGGCAACACCTTAACAAAAGTGTACTGTTCCTAAATCAGTAATTGATTGTGAATGAAGGATGAAAGACCATTCATTATAGTGATAGCCAATAAAGTTTTATTCATGTATAATTGTTGTTTTTGTTTCACCCTCAAATTTAGAAGTTTTTTATTTATTTATTTCACTAGAGATGAATAGCGTACATGAGCATTCATGCTCAGGTGTTTGCTGTTTCGTTTTTAGTAATTACTCCATAATAACATGATCATTCATTCAAAGTAAGAGATTACTCCCCTTACACCCCTTCTAATAACTCAGCTCAGTACTGCTTGTGAGTGCAGTTGTATTTATTTTAGCATAGAATCAATCGTGCTGTAATAAATAAATTTCACTTTTTTTAAAAAAATGTCTATGTTATAATTTAAATAATTACCAGCTGAAGATTAATATTAATATTCTCCTTAATCATGTTCTCTTTTTTTGTAGGTAAATGATTTGATAGGGTTCCTCCTTTTCTTGTGAAATGGAATACAGAAATATTTAATATAATATATCTGTATAATATTATTATAAATATAATACATTAATATTTATCAAGAAAAAAATATACATTAAATCCTTATTAAAGTTTGTTTTGTCACCATCGTGTCCAGGAGAGTAAGGAATGAGTCATTGTCTTCTAGATATCATTCAGTTGCATTCACAACGATAAATAAATGAATTTGGTTAATTACTAGGCTATTCTATGTGAAAACATTCAAACTGCACTACATTCTGTCTTAGGTTTTTAATAAGATTTTTTGTCCAGTGTTATTTTAGAGAGACATTTGTACTTATTGAAAGCCAAAAGGCTATTAAAATAATATTTTCAATTTGGAATTTTATTGAAATGTAGTGTTAAACTTTCTGAAACATTACTATCTCTCGATGTTTCGAGGAGCAGTTTTCCTCTTCTTCAGTAGTCTATTTGATATAAGCAGATATTCTTGAAAGCTAAGTTATATTTTTGTAACATTTAGTACATCAGTAAAACAAATAAACTAAAATAAGTTACAATTTTTTACCATTTATGTTTTAAGTAAAATAAATTGACATATAATATAATAGATATGTACCAGGTTACATATGAGCTCACTTAATAACTAATGTCATTCCTACTTAAAATCTATTTGCAAATTTTGCAAGAATCTTGCATTTTGCAAAGAAGCAAGCCCTCAACATCACCTCTGATGGTGTCAGAGGCCGTACTGAATAGAAAAATGGGGGAGGGACAAGCTAGTAGATATTTGCATTTGAATAAAGAACAAAATTCTAAGGTGGAATTTTATATACGTTGTAACAAATTATTTTACAGTTTATGTCATGTAGTAATACATAATATTTATTTTATTAGTAATATGTATTAAATAAGTACTCTAAAATAAAACTGGATAAAGAAATCTAATGAAAATGTTCCTATCTACATGTATTGTTATGGAATAATGATATGTATGAAAACAACGTGGTCATTTGTTCGGGTGTTTCATTGTATCTTATTATTTCTGTTACACTCTCCCAAACCGCGCCTGAAACAAGTGGAAACGCAGCCTTAACTTGGAAACCCGAGCGCATTTCATCCACTACAATGGCGGCCACAGCTCCCTTCAATTTATCCGGTGCCCTGAACTCTCCGTCCCCGGCATTGTGGGGGCTTGGTCACGCTTGGCGCACCAGGCGTGCGTCCGTCGAGGGGGGGATCCACTGGCGCCGGTTTCAACCCGTGATTTTTCTCTTGGAGAGGGGTATTGATATAATGTCCAGTTGACTTTGTTTTCTCATGAAGAGTTTTTCATTTATGCAGAATATAAAGGGAATTTCTATTTGTTGACTTCTAGTTAATATTTATAATGAAACGAATATATAAGCCTGTGTTTATAAGAAAGAAATAAAAACGGAAATATTGATAAAAATTGCAAAGTTCTGGTTGCCGGCGGCAACCAGACCTCGCGGGTCTCTCAGAGGGTGGGCAGAGAGGGTGCCGGGGACGTTGAAGAAGAGAACACACATTGTGTGTTGACATTGAAGTAAAGAGGCTTCAGCTGTCAGTGTAGATTTCGACATTGGGATCGCTTGTCTTTCAAGGCGTAGCCCGTAGGGAAATTCCCTCTCTCCCAACTCTGAGTGTGAGAAGATGTACGGTCCTGGCTTCTATTCACGCTTCTCACTGCCCCGCGTTGAAAATCATAACCTCTCGACCTGATACGCATTACTCAAGGCCATGCGAGGGTATCAGAAAATTATAGTACTGGGTTGTGACGCATTGTGCGTTGAGGGTCAGCAAACAGTCTGAATAGAGCCACTAGGCAGTAAGAGGTGTATTTTTCAAATCAGAAGCTGTCAATGAAGTGTTTAATATTTATTTATTGGTGATTTCTTCTATAAAAATGTAATTGTATTTTGATAATTATAATAGTCGTGTAGTTTAGATCTACTACTTTCAGGGCAGTCATAAAATGGGCAACCTTGCATGAAACGGAAACCTCCTTAAACCGGTCTTAATATTGTGTCTTCATCGATTCCCGCTTATACAGATTGTACTGTATATATAGTCGGTGTCCGTGGAGGAAACATCGAAACTTCAAAATAAGCTCTTGAGAAAAATTTAAGCATATTTTTTCTATTAACTACGCGGATGTTATTTCTGGGTTAATTTTTCTTTCTGAATAAATATATACTTTTTTTTTGTAAATAATAAACATTTTACATGTTTCTAGAGTGTTTCTATGCTTCTGTAATATTCATCTTTGCCTAGAAAAAAAATTTAAACCACCTTTCGAGTGGTTATTGTGGCTCAGCCATTCATAATATCCAAGTAGTTTATTAAACAATATATGCTTAAAATTGTCTTAAGAGCTAATTTTTGAATTTTCGAAAATGTCAATTACAATAAATGTTGATAAGATAATTAATAAGTAATTAGTACGTGATATTTTATGCTAAACTTAGAAGATTTCTGTGTGCCTGAACTCAAGATATTGGTTGAACCTTGCAGCTGAATGCGTCTCGGGACATGGCCGCCCGCACCAAGAAGTCCGGCAACCCGCACTTTGCGGAGACCGTGGAGCTGTGTTTCAAGACGGGGCCGAAGGCGACACAGCGCTACGCTCGGTTCGCCAGGTGAGACCCCGCGCGGATGTCATCTGTGCACTTGCCACATCAACGCAACATTCACAAGTTCCCACATCAATTACAGTTGCGGGGATTCCTTTCAGTATTCGACTCAGCTAGAGCCTTCTCGAGATTATGGATATAGTAGGCCATATGCACATTGGCAATCAGCTCACCGCCAGGGCGTACGAAAAGTGCAGCCTGAGAGATTACCGTTTCGCTTCACTCCCCAGAATGTGGAATCTTTCAAATGCTTCTCTTAACGTAGCTCAAAATAAAGGCTGGTTAAAAAAATGCACATAAAGCAGGCGATAGTGGCCGCAGACTTCCAGGAACTTTCGCGCTTTGTCTGCCCCGATTTCGTTTTACCTCCTCCTGGCATGCAAAGAGAGAGCGGCAACCGCCCCAAATCCATTGAGAAAATTTCAAAATACTCTCTCATTTTCTAAAATGTGAGACCAAAGTGGAAAAACAGCCACGCTCACTTAGTGCACCCATGCTCTTCCTTGGCCTTTGTCGTATGTTGGAAGTGATTCATGCAACCTTTTCCCCTGATCAGAGACAATATGGTTATTCTCAGAACGCCCGACGAAAATTGAGTTTTATCTGCTTTTACTAAAAATGAAACTCATGCACCTTCGTTGGTAGTTTTCATACTTGGATTATATTTCAGTTCCTCTGTGATAAGGGTAGTACTAAAATCATTAGAGATCCAGATCCAGAGACTGCAAATGATGGTGTAGGACTCTAGATGACGCGTGATTCAGGCATCATCTTCATCTTCTTCTTTCTTCTTCTTCTACTTCTTCTTCTTCTTCTTCTTCTTATTATTATTATTATTATCATCATCATCATCATTAGGGCTTTTAAAAATAAACCGTGTATCCCATGTGAATCAAAAAAATGGATAATTCTTTTCCACTTGCATATTAACTAATTAATGAACATAATTTATAATGTATATTATTTGGATATCCATTTCCCTGGTTTGAACAACTTGCTTGGTTCAATTTTTATTTAGTAATTCATAGTGTGAAATCACAAATATCAGCTCTTGAAAGCAAGGGTTGTTTAAGTCGCTCATTCTTTATTTAGAGATATTACAACATCCAGAACAATTACAGTATTTACAGTACACTATATTTGTCTACATTGTGGCACAGTTCACACGAAGGTTACGCAGTCACACAGTCAAGGTTAAATGATTATTACTCTATTTTTTACTGTGAAGAATAGAATATTCTTCTCGTATTTTGTTGTTTTTAAAGATTACAAATGTGTATTAGTAAGCTTAAGTAATAATGAAAACTAGGAGTCTATAATAAATTAAATAGCTAACCTACACTGTGACTTATTATACAACAAGGAAATGATTCTTATTTGTATACCATCGCATCGAGGCATTGCCGGTAAATATATTAGTTGATGAAGCAGCAAAAGACTCTCTTAATTGACCTATGGAAGAGCATCCAGTTTCCCACTACATCAACAAAGAACTACATCAAAGAAACAAAAATCTTTGGAATATGGAATGGACCAAATCACCTCACCAACTATATCAGATCTGGAAAAATATCTTCAATGACCACCTTCCATACATTCACAAGAGAAAATATCAAACTATACTCAGCCGTTTAAGAATTGGCCATTCCAAACTAACTCATCAGCATTTACTAACAAAAGAAATGCAAAAAACTGTGGCCAATGCCAATCTGCCCACTCTATTTCACCCATATTGTTGTTCTGTTCCGTTTACAAAGATATCCTCAAAGAAATATGCATTACCTCTCACTCTCCTAGAAATTCTTAACAACCATCATTACATTAAAAATGTCTTTAAATTTTTAAAGGATCAATAAACTGTAAAAAACTTATAATCTGCTAAACACCAATACTGTCGCTATGTTACGTCAAAACTGTATTGTAATGCAAAATATGTATTCTGATGATTGTTTATATTCTGTTGCTGTTGAATGTTATTGTTAATGGTCGCCATGTAATGTTACGCTTATTTTGACAAATTATGTACTTGTGCTTTAGTTTTAAATGCTGTTGTATGTTGTGCTGTACTTTGTATATATTGTATTTTGATTGTGGTCGCTAATGACTTGGAAGTTCATGCAACCAATGAAATAAGCATAATTTAAAAAAAGTTGAACCTCTACATAATGAAACGTTTTGGATGTAACACATTTATCTTCTAAAGAATATTAGGGCTACTAGTTCACATAGTAACAGGAAAAGAGGAAAATATAATCTGCTACAGAATCTAAGTAGTACATAAGAATTAAAATTTCCTCTATCACTGCACAAGGCCATTAGTACCTCTCATTTAATACATTGGTCTTAATAATTTTAGTTCAAATTGGTCAGTATAATTCTTTGTGGTGATCAACAACTTGTAAAATGTATTCTTGGCTCAGTGTGCATGCAGGTATTAATAATCATCTCATAATTTAATCCTTCTGGTCGTCTTGCTTCCGCCAGTAGTGAATTTTGGTTAACACCATTTATACATCAATAAATAACATTATCATAGTTTCGTATCAAAATTTTAAGTTTCACTATGGTCCTGACTAACACTACTTTTGCTATCATGGGCATATATACCACGTTCCAAATATGAAAGTGATAATATACCCTCATATTTGTTTCAGGATTTGTGTGGACATATTTTTGTGCGTTACTCAACTTGGATTCTGCTGTGTTTACTTCGTCTTCATTGCAGAAAATATAAAACAGGTGAGACATCAATAATTTTTGTCTTCAAATTCAATTAACTAAGCCAAAGAAATTTTCTACGTACGTACTATGGCGAAGAAGTAAAAATTGTGTGTGATCGTATTCGTCTAAGTGAGAGATATGTAATATTTTGTTATATGTATGTCGCACCTTTATGGTTTTCCAATTTTGCCTCGGTTGCTGTATATTTCCAGTTAATTTACGCATGTTTGTTGGATATCACAATTAGTGTGCCGGCATTCCTGACACGAAAACAAGTCAAGTGATCGCTCTGGTGTTAAATTAGTTAAAAAGTATTAAAATATATAGTTTGCATAAGTCTTGTGCCTGAGACGAATTTGACGGTTCATTATCCTTACTTCATAGAGATGCCCATTGAGTTTCATTTAATTGAGAACTGTAGCCTAAGAATATTGAGGAAACTACAAAAATTTTCTAATCTGTGGACACTGCTGAAGCTTTTACCTTAGATGTGAATAAAAATATAAAAAAAAGTCGTTGTATTTGTGGACATGATTAACAGTCAGAGGATGTGGCTCGTTGAATATGAGCCAACCAACCCAATTGATGAGTGCCATTCAGTCCCAAACGGGATATTTATTAAAGATGGTCGTAGATGTATCGAGATGACTCAAACCTTAAAAACCGATACACGAAAATCAAGAGCTTGCTTGAAGGTTTCAGTTGAAAGAGAGAGAGAGACCAAATCTTCCCACCCCATGTCGCATAAGAAAATCAATTAAGTACGAAAATATTACTCTGCTAGCTGTAAAACACATTTGATACCATGTTTCCTTCCATCGTGGTACTGATCATATTGAGGCTTCTACGGGAAGTTGGATAGAGCGTGAAGATCACGTGACACAAAACTAGGGCGTATGGAAGCTACCTGGTCGACGTAGAAACCTAAGTACCAACCAGAAGCTTGTACCTACCATCCCTGGTCTGCTCTAATGTGCACTTTGACTTGAAGGGTCCATACCACATTGGAGGGAAAATGGGAGCTAGGATGGGGGACTGCGATCACTTACCATTTACATCTCCAGAATCGAGGCAATAGTGAGAAAGCTCAGTATGTAAACTACTAATTCTTCGAGGATTAATTTGAATTCTTAAGTGCGGGATCTTTCTGCCTACAGGTGGTTGATGTGCGCTTTCCAGACTATCAATTAGATCTCCACTTGCACATGTTGTTCGCGTTTGTGCCCATCCTACTATCCTGTTGGATCCGCAGCCTGAAGTACCTCGTCCCGCTGACGAGCATAGCCAACATCTTGATGGCAGCGGGCATCGTGGCCACGTTGTACGTTGTCGTACAGGACTTGCCCCCTATCTCTTCCCAGGAATATGTAGCCCACTGGAGTACAATGCCTCTTTTCTTCGGGACAGCGATCTACGCCTTTGAAGGCATAGGATTGGTGAGTTCTTGCGAAGCTTTTCGTTTAGGTGACGATGCGCTTCCTGCTTTGCTTACTGGTCAAAGATATGGGGGGGGGATGTAGGAATTTGATTTCTTTCATTATTAATTTTTTTGATAAATATTTAAAACTCGATCATTTACGTCTTTTTATTTTTTAATTTTGTTTATTAAATACTGTATTCAACAGACAAAACAATATACTTAAGTATTAATTACATCTCTAAGAGCATAAAACAATAAATGCAAAGCTCTTACTTTTCAGTAATGAAGTGCACGGGATTTAATCGGAGTGAGTCGAAAAAAATTAAACCATTAGCTTGCCGACGTTTCGGAATATTTCTATTCCATCCTCAGGCCTTACTAAATGATTAAGCTCTGAAATTAGTGAGAATGGAATAAAAATATTCCGAAACGTCAGCAAACTAATGGGTTTTTTTTCAACTCACAGCGACGAAATCCCGTGAACTGAATTCCTAATTATGATTACGAATCGAGATAACTCGCATTCCAATTGAGCCCCCCATCCGAGCTAATCGTGCCATGTGCGGTGGCAGGTGCTGCCGCTCCAGGAGCAGATGAAGCGGCCCGCGCAGTTCGCTTCGCCGCTGGGGGTGCTGAACGTGGGCATGGTGTGCGTGGCGGCGCTCTTCATCACCATGGGCTTCCTGGGCTACCTGCGCTTCGGGGACAAGGTGCTGGGCAGCATCACGCTCAGCCTCCCGCAGGACGACCTGTAAGGAGCTCGCGCCGCTGCGCCCGAGGCGCACTCCCAAAGAACTCGTCATTTCGTTTTGCCAGCGCTTTTGGTTTTACTTTAGACCATTTCGATAGATCGACCCATCTTTTATTATCTTTACCATCGAAAGCTTTTATTCTGTTGAATCAAAACGTTGGTGACACTGAGTGTCTTGTTCATGGCATTTAATGGGTATTTTTCTGTTGTTTGGGTATTGGGGATAAAGGAAAAGAGGTGGCCATGTCACCGAAAATGCTTTTGTGATCAGGGCGTGCGAAAAATAGTTTTATTACTTAATTAACTCAAAATATTTAGAAAAATGTCATCAAACATTATGATAAAAGTTGCGTTTGAAGAAGGGAGAATGTTGTAATTCTGTCGGCCTGTGTGATGTCAAAATATTATCTAATTAATTAAAATTCACTTATTAGTATTCAAAAAACAAATGTTAACTTGACTATAGCAAGGAGTACGGCGAACGTTTGATACACGAACGAAGTTCGTTGGTTCGAAAGAGTTTGAATGTAAGTTGGTTCAGTTTCATTGAGGGTCTTAAAAGAAAGTGTTTGATAACTGCATTTGCGCGTCTTTCAGCTGCCTAATATTCTGTTCTCCTCGAAAGTCATATTTTTCAAGAATACAGTTATCTTTAACGGTTCCTGATCAGTGTAATAAGCCGTAAACCCTTTGGCGTTATAGGCCAATCGATCGCTGAACCTGAAGATCTTTCTTTCCAACTCATAAGGGAAATTCGAATAAATATTAACTATTTTCATTAGTTTTCGTTGGTTTGATACATTTTTGTTCTTAATGTTCTATTATAGTTTTGTCTGAATTACAATTTTTTCATAGATTTGCGATGTGAACAACTGTGTAGAACCAGTTTTGATATTTTATAAAAGTTGATATCGTTTCATCTTGTGATTCATATTACATAATAGTTGTAAACCTGATGAAACTAAACACGATAAATAGACCAGACACGTCTTTTATTCAAATTTGAATTCATGATGTTATCGCAAAATGCGCAAATAGACGAAAAAGCGCGATGAAAGATAATTTATTTCTTGGCAAAATGAGATTTCTCAATTCTTTTGTCATATTCATAAACGTAGTACATAATACACGTAGGTAAATGTTTCCTTTTATATGTACAGATTACACCCTTTGAATACCAAAAGGCGACGTTATAATCTTTTTCGCAACGTTATAATTTGTTTGCATGACATTCATTTTCTTAGCTTCTTGATTGTTCGTTATTTCGATTGCTCCTTGGATTTTGGCACGGAGAATAAATATGGACCCATTTGTCAACCATAACAGCAAACTGGCCATAAATTATAATCAATTTACATTTTAAACGCCCAACATTTTCAGTACAGACATATTTTTGGTCCAATAACTTCAAACACCAAAGCTATCGAGCACACACCTGAACATGATCCGAGTTATTAACACGGTCCATTGAAATATCTCACCATTATTCCGATATCTCTAATGTTCAATCTTTCACGAAGAGAACGTCTTCATCGATCATCTCGATGTTAAATTTTGTCACATCACAGCCCGGAAATGCTCTACATTGTCGAACAGGATTATCCTTTCTGTCCAAATTTTAACTGAACTGAACCGAAATACTGAACAATTAGTAGTCTATAGTAATACCTTCAGTCTCGTATGACTGCCCAAAACCCATCAGGCAACTTAATATTTTAGAATATTGTCAATATTTTCGAATAGATGAAACAAAATATCGAGCTGCTATTTTGTCCAGAGTTCTACAATTGGTTCGAACGTTATAATCAATATATAAATACCATTACCTCTCGTTTGGCTCATGGAGAGTGCGCTAACTTTCTGTAGTGCGATCCTGGTTTCGATTCCCAATCGGGGCAAACATAGGGTTTTATAATACAATCGCCTCAGTTTTTATAGCTGTGAGGCAGTGATCGTCGGTTGAACTGGCGTTAAACTGACGTAAAAATGCTCAATGATGAGATGAAACATGAATGGAAAAGCAAATAAAATAAAATCTTCATCACAACACTGGACAATGTTTTCCAAGTCTTCCTAAAGATCGTTACAGAAGTATGTATCAAAACACAACGAACATTAACAAAATGCCAGCATGGTGTTAGGTTTTCATGTCTCCTATAACGCGTTATGGGAAATCCATGGAAATACTGGATTGCTAAAAACAGTGTAGTCTGTACATTGGAGTTCTTAGATGACGTATTTACGGAAAGAAAGTAGCTTATTTTTCCTCAGGATTTACATCGTTATCCAAAAACGTACACTCTTTACATTGAGAATTCCCAGGGATGTAATATGATTTTGCGTAAAATTGGTACCAATCAATGCCCAAGCTCAAAAAATAACAATTAACACTAAGATAAGAAACTGAAATTTAGCAATAAAACACAAATCTCAAAAGTCGCTAGCAATCCGGAATCGCTCTAGCCCTGACACACTCATTCTGTGACCTCGAGTTTTTATTGTTTGGCGCATTCCGTGTGCCTCCGCTTGGAGATCCGGATGAGATCATATCGGAAGGTGGCATAACATTGCTGACCAGTGCATATGGCCGAAAGTTTTCACACGCACGATAATACAGAAGAACTCCAAATATCCGGATTAACTGTGATCGGACCCGATCCAGATATTCAAGTATTCGAATATTTGGATAAATAATAAAAAAAACAATATTTTGAAAGAAAGATAAACTTGTTTATTCATGCTAAGCATGCATGAAAACAGCTTTCGTAAAGCCAAATACCAACTTGTGTAAACTAAAACACCCACTTGTTTAAACTAAAAAGCGCACAGAAAGAAACGGAACAATTAAAGAAAAAAGAAACGGAACGTATAGCGACAATACTGTCCCGGTTTATGTCACGACACGGACGCCGCACTGACTGGCACGAACAAATGTGATAATGCAAATATTTCACGTACTATTTTCATTGTTCCCTGGAATATTTTGTCTTTTAATGCATACTCGAATAACTCTGATTTCAAGATACTTGGGAGAATTTTGTATCCAATACCGACAATGTTGTAATAATGTTTAATAATTTGTATTACAAGAGATAACAACAATAAACGTTATTCGTTTTAAAACTTTTTAAACATGGTTAAATAGGCAATTTTATTCCTTCAGAAAAGAATCCGTCGCTCTGTCACACGGCAACGGGACAGGTGGACTCTAGATCGCTGTAAACGTGTAGTAAAGGTTATCAATTTGATGACAAAATGTTTGAAGTTTCGTATTATTGTATAATGTTTTATAACAGTGTCTAATGCCTCAGTACCAGGACAACGTCGGACTGTTAGGCGTGGCATTATGACAAAGTGACCAATTTGAAAATTTGGCCCACCAAAAATGAATTAAGGTTGAATGCCTAAATTGTAAGAATATATCAATTGCCGCTATTTGCTTGAAACAATGAATGCTCAAATGAAAGCAAAAGTTTCCATTCGGTGCTAGCCTTTAGAGAAATATGCAGACGGTGAAAATATAGTTACAGAATGTCAGAACAGAGGGTAATTAAAACTAAACTAGTGGCCTCCAACAACAAAAATGCTGCTTAACAGAACCATACATAATGGTTTTTAAAAAAAATAACTGCTCAGATAAACTGCTGCACAAATAACATACTACTCAAATGAACACACACACACACACACACACACACACACACACACACACACACACTGTTCAAATAAAATACTCTTGTATAACACTGCAATCAATTAAATATTTTAACAAAAATGGTCTTCATCAATCCTGCAACAATATAATATATGAGCATATGCACGTATGTATACAATTTACAATAATTTAAAACAGTTGTTGTTCCATAACGCAATTCGTAAATAGCAAGTATTTAATAGCGGGTGACCTCTTTCTGGGAGCCTACATGGCGTATGACAGAAGTACCAGGTTGCTGCTTTTATTTATCTCGTAGTATCATTTGAGGCAATCATTGGCCGTAGTTTCGCACCCGTATTTTCGAGCCAGGCCTCCTTTGAAACCTCCGGGTCCGAGGGATCTTTTTCGAGCAGGCCCGCCCTGTGGACTAACACACCTAATGCGATTCTAACTTTCTGCCCCAGATGTCGTTCTCAGTTAACTATATCAGACAAGGTCATTATACAGTGTCATAATTCTATATGACAAGGTCATTACATAATAACCATGATGTCCGCACTCTCTCGTTGGAAGAACGTAAGATCTCGTTGAGGTGGGAAATTGCCAAGGGGATATAATTTTGCCGGGCACTTGCAGGGTTCCTTTGCGTACCGCAAGCATGACATGCCACTGTGGGGTTTTTCCGTCCTTTGAAAATTCCAGCGCACCAGCGAACACGGGCAGTTTCTCCTCACTCCGCTCTCATTTCCCCTCCAGATCCACAAAGAGGTGGACCAGCGCCTAGCAGCGCGAGGCGGGAAATAGTGGCTTCATACGAAAATATGTTTCTCAAATTTGTTCTATCAAATAACCGAGACTTAAATTAGGTTTATATTCTTTACTATTTATTACTATTACATGTTTATTTTATTTTTAAATTCTGCTTTATATAAACATTTTTGTCAGGTGTAAGGAATATGTTTGAATGAATATTTGTTTTCGTTATACCTTGTGTTTTAAGACATACAGTAATATGCAATATCTAGAAATAATCTGAAATAAATAAACAATAATAATAAATAAACATAGATGAACAATTTTCGCTTACGGAGGGACACCCCTTTTAACATGCAAGATTTTTGTTTGTGAAACCTAACTCAATCGTAAGAATTAAGTGCAATTATTGCACTCTTAAGTAAATAGATTACGCAACCAAGATCCTTTCTATTAAAAATGTTGGAGTACAACTTATGGGAGTCGGTTTCAAGCACGGTTCTGGATGGTATCAGTGTCTCGCAGGAGTCAGTATTTCTTAGCTTAATATGGATGATTCGGCTCACTAGATTATGTCTCGTTTGTAGTCTGTTGGGGCTAGTGCATTGCAACCTGAGAAGATATGCTGGATGATTTCATGATCTCGCGCACACATTTGTCACTTATCACTATGTATTTTTGGGTCTTTAATTATGTATTTAAAGTAGTTCCTCTTTGGGACAACGTGATCTTGGATTGCCATCATAAAGCCTTCACTCTCAGGGTACAAATATCCTATGCTGAGTCATTTGTACGACATTTCTCCGTCGACATTTGGATTGGCAACTGCAGTCGGATATGCACTGTGGAGGGCTTTCTGTTTCCAAGATTCCATTTCTAGTGGAAAAGATGACTGTTGGATTGATATATGTTGTTGTTTTATATTTAGTGGAGTGTAGTTCTCATCTGCGTGTACGACCACCTTGTAGAGTTGAGAAGTATTCGTTTTCCCTGCAAAATACTTTCTCAGGGCTCTTATCTACTTAGCGTGGTGGTTTGTCAACGTTACGATATCACGCCCTCTTAGATGATGGCAACCAACACGTGTCATTGGAACTCGCACCTGTCTTTCCATATCCTTTAGGTCTTGAGGACCATTTGAGAAAACCCATCGAAAATTAGACAATGGGAAGAGCGTATGTGTTGATGGCAACGACGAGGTTTCGAGAATTGAGGGAAGTTCTTAAAACTGCCTTGAGTCGGTTCGTGAGCTCAGTTTTTAGCGTTCCCTTCATCTTGTGATGTGCTATCATATATCCCTGTTGTATACAAGATATTTGTATAATTCATTCGCATCCAGATCGGATATTATCTCTCCACTTACAGTCTCTTATGTAGCTTCATAGATGAGTTTACTGTTCTGTATTTCTTTAATTTTGCACTTATCAATCCGCAACTGCATATCAATGTCTGAAAAAATCTTCAATGCTTTTTCTTTCAATGCCTAGACCACGCATCGTACCTGAGTAGAGTTTAATGTCATCCTTATAGGCTAAGTGAGTTATACGGATCATCTCAGCGCCTTTCAGTTCGAATTCTGTTTCTAGGTCTTCCAGGAGTGTTGAGAGAGGGTTCATGGCCAGACAAAACCAGAATGGGCTCAGACTATCACCTTGAAAAATGCTACGCATTATGTTTATTTTATTGGTGATCACATTTTCATTTCTTGCCGCGACCCGAATAGTGGTCTTCCATTTGCCCATGGTGAATTTGAGGAAATTCACTATCGCTGGATTACTATGGTAGTGGCAGTCTGTAGAGCAGTCAATCATGTGGCACCATGTCATATGCCTTCTTCTTCTTCTTCTCCACTTCAAGGATAGGTCTCTGGCCTGTTCCGGCTTCTAAGAATTCCCTCTCTTGAGGGGTATACCTGGCTCTCTTCTGCCTTGGGGCCTATACTTTGGAATGCAAGTCCTTTCCATTCTTTCCACATGTTGAATCCATTCCTCTCTGTAAAATTGTACCTTGTCATTGATTGCTTGGACGTTTAATTCGTTTCGAATTTCCTCATTTCTGAGTTTATCTAGTCTGGTATATTTTTTTACAGATCTCAAGAATTTCTTGTCACCAGACTGTAACGCCGGTTTATATTTCTCCCTGTCCAGTCCAGCATTCACTTCCGAACAACAGAGACGGGACAGCCATCACTTTATATATTCTCATAAGAGTATCTCTGCGTTTTTTATCATTAAGAGTTCGCCGAATATTTCCGCATATATTCTGGTATTTATGATTTTTTATCTATATCAATTTTTGTGACAAACGTTATGTTGCAGCCCAAATATTTAAAATGGCTAACATGTTCCAGCATCGAATTTTCCAAAATTATTTTGGTGCGTATAGGATGCTTTCCCACAAATGCCATCGTTTTGGTCTTCGTTTTTGCAATCTTTAGATTATATCCTTTGCAAGTTTGGTTTAATTGATGGATAGACCTCTGTAAGTCCTCCTGACTTTCTTGGATTCAAATTTGATCATCAGCAAATAGTGAATTTAAGTACACTCCATTTCTATGCTTAATTCCTAGGCTGATTTTGTTCTTCCATTCTCAAATGACGTCATCCAAGTATATGTTAAACAGTGTTGGGAAAGGCTGCATGCTTAGCGAACTCCTTGGTTTGTTTTTATTTATTTTGAATATTTTTTCTTATAGTCAGTAATACAAGTGAACAAGTTGCGTTTCGTCTTACATGCTTGAGACATGATGACGCTGTCAATGAGAAGTTATTCTTTACATCCGAGGGAACATTTGCTGCGTCCTCTTTGAGTTTCAACCAGGATAGAATTCGGTGTACAGTGATGTTCGATAATAATTGATAAACATCTTCTGATGGTTTTATAGAAAGAGTTAAGACATGTTATAGTCCGGTATTTTGCAGGATCTATAGTATCACAGGTTTTCGGCTTCGCAATTGTGACACCTTCGCATAAATAAAGCGGCATTTCTTCAGGATAATTCAGGGAGTTGTTGGCATTTAGGATCTTCCCGTGGAGGCGGGTGAATTTTTTGTTCCAATAGATACGCAAACCATCTAACCCCGGGCATTTCCAATAGAAGAGTCTCTGTAATTTTCTGTAGGATATCTTGAGTGATTTGAGAGGTTGCCATTTCTGTGATCTGCGCCGCATCACCTCTGATCTGTAATAGCTACGGTGATTTGACATTAAAGTGACTTTCAGCCGACCATATTTCACTCTAGATTTCTTGTACAGCAGCTTTGTCTGGCAGGATGTTCATTTCTGTGTTTACTTTTCTTAGGTTTCTGTATAAGTTTTTGGCTGCTAAGAAATTATTTGTTGACGGTTTATCGCTTTAGGCATTTTGTATATCAGCGTATACGTTGTCTACAGACACTCACTTTCTGTTTTAGGGTCTCGATAAAGCCAATTAGACTTGTATTGTCGATATTGTGGTGTGTTGGATGCGATGTTTCTGCTAAATATATGCTATTTTATTTTTCAGATATTCACGTCTATCTCCTCTCTGGAAAGCTTCCAGTATAGCAATATCTGATCTAAGACGTTCGATCCGTTTTCGCAACCGCATTTTCCATGGAGGTTCTTTTTGCGTTGCTGTGAACTCCGAGTTGATTGTATTTCAGATATTTTCTCGACATTCCTCCTCACTGTTGCAACTGCCATACAATAGAGGTTGACATAGGTCATGATATTTGAGTTCCTATTAACCAATGTTGTTGTTTTTTTCATTTGCTACTTTGACTAGCATGGCCACTTTCTTTGAACAGTGCTGTTTTGGGATTCTCGGTCTTAGGTGAGGATCCAATCCCTCATATTCGATAATTGCCAGTCGATTTGATTCAAGCTCTTCATGTAGGTGATCTCTCGGCATATCTTGTTTTAGAAGCTCAATGAGCAGAGTATCTTGCGAGCCTTGTGGTGGGATATGAATTTGTGGTATAGGAGTCGTTGCAGCTTCAATGTCCCCTTGTGTTTCTAACAGTATCTGTACTTCTGCTATAATCTCATTTTGTCTGGCTCGTGAGACATATTTGCTGTGTTTACTTGTCAGCGCTCTTCGATCTGCGATAACATGGATAAATGTGGGTATTGCTGAATGAAACATCTATGTAATTTCTTCCTGAATCCTAATGCGGAAGTACAAACTGATAATTTTTTTCGCTCATATCATTAGTCCATTGAACACTCCGTCGTGGCAGGGCTGCCATAGTGGTCCCAAGTGAACTCTGACTAACACTGCGCGTAGGTGCAATTAACAGATCTTACGTACTGCTTCCATGGCTGTAGTAATTACGGGTACCCCGGTGTTCGTACCACTTGGGGCATGTGTTTGGAAATTTGAGAGTAGTACGGATCTATCAGTGGATGTAACTAAACACCCTGTCGTATCTTTCCAAGTATTCGGTCTTTACTAGAATTGGTCAACTTGAGACGATATGATCAATAGTTTCTATTTGTTCCTGGTAGATGCCGCATTTATCATCATGGGCAATTTTGAGAACCGCTTGATCATAATGTCGTGTTCTCAATGCCTGATCCTGAGCAGCCATGAGAACTGCTTGCGATTCTGGCTTCATTCTTTCCCTTTTAAGTTACATAAATAATTGGTCTTTATTGATCTGCGCCTTGTCCGTTCTTTAACTAACTACGGTTAAGAGTTATGTCCTCTGCAGACGTACAAATAATGAACAAAAAGAAATGTGAACAAACGTTCCAGCACACATCCAGAAGAAATGCATGCAAAAGATCTAAACATAACTTTTCCATTCCCTAAGTGATTAAGTGGATTTTCATCAAAATTTCTTTGATGTTTGCAGAGTGTCTCAATGCATCAAACTGGCGATTGCGTTGGCCATTCTCCTGACATATGCTCTACAGATGTACGTCCCCGTAAGTATTATATGGCCCGGAGTCGAGAAACGCTTCGGACCCTTCCGCTATCCAGTCTTCGCTGAACTGCTTTTCCGCAGTCTGCTTGTGATACTGACATGTAAGTACTTCAGATATTCATTGTTTCTCTATTGTAGAATAAGAAATACCGTAAATATTGACTGCTGCGCAGATGCCCTCTCAATTCACACTCTCTATACACGTTTTAACAATACCACACCTTAACGCAAACGCTCTTTTAGGTGACTTTTCATGCTTTTCAAAAAGTATAGAGATTTCCATTTTTCATGTTGCCTTTTCATTATTTCGTTTAACCTCTGTTTTAACTTCATAGTTTAAACTCCAATGTTTGAGGCGTTATAAGGAACACTATCCCAAGGCTCTTTTTTCTAATTTAAGCAATTTAAAATACTTCCAAGAAAGAGTAAAGAGATTTTTGCTAAAATAATCGCTTAACTGAATGTCTTAAGTATTTGTACTTGTATATTATTATTATTATTATTATTATTATTATTATTATTATTATTATTATTATTATTATTTGCCTTTCGATGGACTTGCATAGTAATGTCAAGTTAAACATTTTCATTGGCAATTTTCAAAAGTTCACTGTTTTTTTTACATGATTTCGAGATCTAGATTTAATGAATAGATTTCAATAAGGAAAAATCTCTATAATATATATATATATATATATATATATATATATATATATAAAATTTTGCAATGTTAATTGTTTGTTAACAATTTTAGAAAATACAGAGTGTTCGCAGAAAATAGTACCTTATCCCTTTTGAAGCGTTCTGTGTTCTATTCGCATAAAACAATTGGAGCCGGTTTTGAGAAAACACATTTTATAAACTGCATTAACGTCAAGCAAATATTACGCGAAAAGTACTAGTTTTTAATATTTACATACATTTATTTCAAGATCTAATTTTTAGAACAGATTTCATTAAGGGAAACAAACCTCTCATCAATATTTTATTTGCAAAGTTAATTGTTTGCAATTTTCACAAATACAACGTTCTCGAAAACCTGGTCTGCAGCATTTTTTAAGCGTCTAACGAAGTGAAAAATTTAAAGAAAAATTTGAGCCGTTTATGTGAAAATTATTGCTTTAAAATTTCCAATATTTCACCCAAAATTACCGAAAAAACGGTTGACTCGGAATAAATGTTGCAAACTTGCATGGAAAGTGGGAGGATCGAAAATAATCTTCTTTTGCAATAAATATGTGGAAGGAAAATTCATATAAGTAAGTTACGATTTCATATAACTAAGGTACTTCCCCATGCTGAGAAGGCAATCCATCATGCATTGTGTTTGGCAGGTATACATAATCCCTGCGTCAAATCGTGACTTTCAAACACGAGTGCATGATGAATTGCCTACCATAAACCTAATTCGTCTACGAAAAGTAGATTAGATACTATTATAAAAAAGCCAATACAATAAGTACAAATAAAACTTTAAACAATGCTGTTCTACTTTAAAAGTGCAGCCAAGTCCATAATGACTCCAACTAGTTGGCCATGTTTCGTGTGATGAGCACCGCGAAGCGAGGCTGACCGGGCGCCGCGTGTTGCAGTCGTGCTGGCCGAGGCGGTACCTGAGCTGGAGCTGGTGATCTCGCTGGTGGGCGCGGTGAGCTCGTGCGCGCTGGCTCTGCTGTTCCCGTCCCTCATCGACATCATCTCCCGCTGGGAAGAGGCCGATCCCTGGCGCCTGCGCCTGTGCAAGAACTCCTTCATATTCGTGGTGGGGATCGTGGGCTTCCTCACCGGCACCTACGCCAGCGTCTACTCCATCGTGGAGAAGCTGGCATGAAGGCCAGGATCGGAGCCCTTGTGTGGCGTGGAATAGGGACCTGCTCGAGCTCGCTTTCGTTCACCAGTCACTGCGCTCCCGCCCGAGGGCCTCGAAGCAGCCGGTGGCCAGCGCCATGGCGTGGATCTCTACTCTGTTGAATTCGTGTACTCATGCAAAGTGACGTACAGTTGTGATTTTCCATTCGATTACCATGAGTATTTGTACAATCGAAACAAGCTGTGTTTAAAAATGGTATTAGTGTAATAATACCACTGAAACCACAAGGTTTAACACTTCCTAAATATGACCATTTCAAATACGCCATTTTAGGTCAAAACTCTTACGTACAAAAAAATCATAAATTGTATGTACACGTTAATACTTTCACCATCATCAGCAATGAAGGAATCTTAAAATACTGCTTGGCAGTAATACAACGCTAGAGGTTACGTGCCTTTTCTTTGCATGAAGACTTAAATTTTTCATTAAATGAGACTCGTACATAATATTGATATAATTCATCAATGTAGTCGCATCACCGTTGTATCAATAGTGTATTTATGTAATATTGTTAAAAAGTAGGGTAAGTGGTACTGTTTGTGGAAGATTTTGTATAAAATGACGTATGGATTCCTCAAGTGAAAAAATGTACAGAATTAATTCTATAACAGCAACTTTCATTCTTAAGAATGTATATAAAGTACGATCCACAAGGCATATGTACAAATAGAATGAAGGGAATATCAATGACATGGATTGTATATACAGTTTGTGTTTGTAATTAGGTAATCTCATAATGTAATTAATTCAGTGAGGACATTCTTTTTCCTTTGTTTTCCAAACGTCGACCAGTAAATTTCGCCTTTATTTATTTATTATCCGTAACAATAAATATAAGTAGCTATTTTTATGAATTCCCAGTTGACTTGTAACTAGCTCTTGATTTTCAATTTTGTTTGGCTTTTATTTCTCAAAATATTTTAAATAATATAAAGAAGTATGTTATTATTTGTTGGCAATCATTTTTACTAATGAAATGTACAATAAATCACTTATATGAACGCAAATATTTTCCATGCCAATCGGTATGTTCTGAGACCAATTCTGTATAAAGCAAAATTAAATATGCAGTGTAAACAAGTTGAACCAGAGGACCACAATACGTCTAGCCATTAGGATTGGTTTGTCTTGTGGCTTAAGGAAGTAATTTAGTGTAAATATAATGTCACTTATGAATCGAGTGGTCATTTTTAATTCATCTGTCAATTAATGAGATATATCAAAATTTAATTTACATTTGATTATTCTGTCATTAGCTTTGTCTCTTCAAGAGATATATGTTAAAAACACATTTTTTTTACTCTGTGTATACATATTGGAATACTGTGCAGCTGTAATGACATGGAAAGTCAAAGTTCCAAGAGTGATTTTGTTTTATTTGTAAATAAAAAACACTAATGTATTAAATTACGTATATTTTCTTACACTCTTTTCAGCATTTGTATTTTTCATTTTTTCTTTATCATTTCTTGTTCAGATTACAAATTTTCGATAGTAACATTGGCCAACATGACTTTGTTCTCTTGAGAAATCAAAATAGAGAATTCAGTGTCATTTTTTATTCTTCACTAAGCTGTGTAATAGTATTCTTCCATCACACGTACTTTCCTTGAGAAAGTTTCTTTAAAAATTGGGATTTTCGCGTTCTCTTTCACCTGACATAATAATCTTTAAAGAATGTAGCAGTAGTTTTTAAAATTTATTTATGGCAATTGCACTGGGGATATCGGGTAAAACATACACGGCATATCATCTTATGTTTCAGGCCGTACCAGCAAGGACGAAATACGAATATTATCGAAACACCAGATGAGGAGCATAGGCCTGAGAACTAAAAGCCAAATTGTGGTTGATTTCGAATTGTCAACTTTGTGAGGTATAATAATAGGCCAACGGTTTCGTCGAAAAAGTTTGTCCCCTTTTCTTCCTAAAGACAAAATCTTAGATTGTCGTTTCACTTCATTTATGCCAATCTACAATTAATACTTTACCTTTGACGTGTAAGACTGGTAGATTAGTTGAAGTGTTTTTTGTTATCATTTTTAAATGGCTTATTTTTACCACCTCGTTTTACTGTACTTTCTCACTTGTCGTGAAAAGATGAATTCCTGCAGGGCTCTTAAGCGGCATTGGTTCACCCCTAAGATTCCTTCGTTTATTTTTTAAAGAACTTCTTGCAAAGAATTTGGAATACTTAATCGAGTGTTTGTAATAACAAGTTTTAAGCTAAGGAAAAGTTTAAGCGGCGATATAGTATAAGCAGTTTGTTGGGTATTTATTGAAGTTCGACCATTCTCTTAACCATAATTATTTTAATTTAGAGCAGATCTCATCTATCGTTTGTTATATTTTATTGTTTTCTAACTTACAATCAGTCGTATGAATAGTATCAGCAACAAGGCTAGGTGCACATTCGGCCACTCGTGACGGCCGCTCTTCGTCGGCATCAGCGTCTAGTAGCGACTACTTGTAGCCGCCACTTTGGTTCATCTCGGCTGCAAGTATTGCACCTCAGCTTCTGGATCAATGACCCCCATCTCAATCAGGGTTTCGTCCAGATTCCCTGATCGCTTTGAGCAAATGCTGAGATAACCCCTTGTTTTGCTTCTGGACATAAATGCAATATCACTATCTGTGCACATTTTCTAGAGTTCAGTGGGACATATTGTTATTCAAATTATCGTTCTATATGTTCTCGCTTAAGTCGATTCCTCACGGTGGGAGCGATGAGGGATAACAGCCCAAATCTGTAGATCACTTGCCTTTGCAAATAGTTTTTATTACGTGGGAGACAATATTAAATCAATACTTTCCAAAAATGCTTCTTTTCATCTGTATTCATAATTCAACTTGTATGAGTATGTAAGTTAGGGTAATGATCCTAGAATTTAAGAAAACGTGTGCAAAATACACTTTCTCCCTTAACACTCACATTCATTTTTTTAACATTAAATAAATTGTAAAAAATCTTCGCCTCTTCTTTCTGTTATGGTTATGGTTCTGTTAGGGTTTGTCGGGCTCACTGTACGCAAGGACAGTGATCCCGCCTGCGGCGGGGCAGATCCTTTCCCCTTCAGGTGAGTATGGATCTTCTTACCTCTACTTCTTAAAATCGTCTTACGGCAATACATTCGTCTGTCCGTTAGTCTGTCTTACCGTCTGTGGTCAATGCTAGCGCCTAAAACGTTCAGCTGATTGTCTTCAAAATTGATATTCTCTTATTGAGTTGATCGGACTGGATGCTTTGGGAGTTCCTAACGGATATTTTCATTGTTGAAGGTTTCTTTACATGAATCAGGCATGAAAGGCATTTACCTTTTTATGCCTTTGCCCTAGTCCGATCCATACGGCGCTTCTGTGGCGTGGTGGTATGAGTGCCGGTACGTTAACTCATAGAATCTGCGTTTGAGTTTGCTGCTTGAAAACACTTGCTGGTTTATGTAGATGTATAATGTTGCGTATCATTTAGAAACAATGTGAGAAAGTATGTGCTTTCGTAGAACCATTAGTTTCTTAATGAAATGTGTTTATCTAAAACAGATCTTCAAAGAAGGTCATGTTGATTTTTTTTTTAATATTGGTAGGCATATTTTGTGTAATTTGGCGACAAACATAATCGCCCGCTCCGAATTTACTGCGCTTAGTGAACGTAATTACAGGCATTCAGGTGCTTCGTTAGTTATAATTTGAATATGATTTCATATTTTTATTTTATTTGTTTGATATTCGATCTTTTGTTATACATTTACACATTAATCTTTTAGAAATTATTTAAAACCTATTTGAAATATACGAAATAAAAATTCCTAGTCTTCATGAAATATATTGGATTGCAACAATTATTCGGCAACAATGATTCGGGAGCTAATGTTTGTGAATTACGTCTTATTGTTGAGACATGATTTACCTTTATGGAAAGCCGTTATAATTGTCAAATTTGTGTTGATATTTGTTGGAAAATATTTAGTTTTTGAACCCAATATGTACGCTTTTGTAAAGAGTTTTACATAAAATGATGACTGAGATGTTTTAATTCGGAGAGAAATTGTGGTATAAATAGTATTACACAACTATTACTAAAGGCGATAAATTACGTGTTGTTTTACCACTCCTGTTTTTTTATGTTTGTTATTAAGTAACTACTCATATGTCATTTGGTTTAGAAAATCTTTTTACCGCTTCTTCTGTGGGTGTCCTTTCTCCCCAGGAAATGTACGTATATTGCACTTCTTTCCCATTGTACGTTGCACACAGTATGGGCCCATTCATAGCGCACCTTTCCGTCTTGGATCACGACCTTAAAGCAACCATTTCTCCATCACAGAGGGGCCGTCTGTCCCGCACCTCTGCGGTTTCTCCAACCACAATTCAATACACAGTGCAATTCCACCGTCACACGCCTACGTTACCCAATGACGTAGGTATGGCTGTCGCGTACATCCACTGATGTCAGTGGTGTATTGCTTGTTGATTGCGCGGGGAAATAAATAAGGAAACTTTTCTTCCGACTCACTCTCGTACACTTAATTGGCTACGCTTAATATTTCTTAATACTGATGAACTATCTGACGTTTAGCTTGCAAACCATCACACAAATCTTCTTTTGTTATATATGTCGGTAAACACACGCTTAGCTCCTTAGCAACCAATCATCTAAAAACGAATAGCGAACGCGTCAATAGCAACGGCCGTTAAAATGCTCGAGTCCATTAAAAATAGTTTAGCGGCCTTTGGGGTTTAGTTTTTACCAGTGAGCATAAATCTTCGGATAAATCTCACTGCCACAAAACAGAGTTGTTGGTAATAAAAGTAAACAAAAGTTATTTTAGCAATTGTTTTTATACAAGTACCTTAATGTTAAAATATTTAACTTTCCACTGAATGTTATGCCGTTAGAAGCCGTGACATTTATCTTCTTTAGTATTAGAAGAAATCGATTCTGAAATGTTTGTCCCTTTTGTCACCCTTGTCTCTTTTATCCCATTTCGTCCCTTTTGTCCCCCTTGTTTCATTTGTCCCTTCGTCCCCTCTTTTCCATTTGCCCCATTTTCTCATTTGTCCTCATTGTCCCATTTTGTTCTTTATTCCTTCCTTCTGCGCACTGGAATTGTAATTTAAAAACTGTATCAAAGACACAGAAACAACAACGCTTGTTACAGAACATCGAGAGTAATGACAAATCGAACCGTCGAACATCGAGAGTAATGTTGATTTCTGTTGTAGCGGCTGACGCGCCCGGTATTACCAAATAAACAATTTGTACCTCAACGTGCAGAAGAGTTAAGAAACTGCAAAAACTTCTTCTCCGCGCTGGGATTCAAACACGTTCTTCGCGTCAGGACGCCATTCAATTGGTCACTACATTACCAGCCTCTCAACAGAAACCAACATTCCTGGCGCTTTAAAAATTAGTCGAGCTACAACATAAAGAGTGAAGAGTCAAGGCCGATCGAGAGCGTTGCCACTTCTGATGGGCTTGCACAGGTGGTCACACGGCTTACACAGGTCAGCGTAACTACTCCTGTTAACCCTTACCTCGATTTACTAGACTGATGATGACACCATATTTACGTAGGTCCTCAATTTGTACTCACCAGGCAGAGTGCACCCCGTTCCAGACCCAACCCTAAGGTGAATATTTCCTAAGATCGCCGAGGAATCGAACCCCAGACCTCCGGGCCTCTGGATCTTTAGATGGTAGCTACTCTTTTGAGAAAGTATTTGTTTAACATTGTTTCAAAATTGCCTTTATTACACACACAATTACGCGAAAACTAATCGAATTTTCGAAAAATTGCATATGACCTTATTTCATATGTGTCTTTAACAAACACATTTCATTCCGGAAAATATTCTCCATGTTCAAAATTGTACTTGTAAGAAGACGCCGAAAACAGTTTGAACCTATTAAATTTTCGAATAATCAAAGATTTTCAACGAAAAATATACCATTTTCTTAAGCTTGATGTATAATCCCCCCTCAAAATATATGTTTCGAACACATGGTCTGGAGTTCCTTTCAATTGATCAAGGAATATGTATGAATTTTTGAGAAAATCGGTTGAACGGTTTTGGCCCTAGCTTTGACCAATGACGGACGGACAGACGCACATTTTGTCGTCAATCGATTTTTATCAAGAGCCTATGAAGGGAGTGGTACCAATCAAAGACCCACAAAACCTAGATTCTGGCACCTCAACGTGTTAGAGAATGTAATTTACTTTAAATATATTACTAGTAATTTACTATAGAACGAGATTTATCCACTTTTTTGTTACCAGGACCCGTCAATAATTTTTTTTCTGTGGAAAATTCGTCCTTTTCCGGCCCAAGATTTCAATACATACTCTTCTTACGAAGTAAGGGCGAGAAAGTAAACTAGTGGCGCTAAATCGCACATACTATCTTCCCTAATTCGTAACGGCTCCGCAGTATTGTAGTACTACATTAATCTGCAAGAGATTTTTCAGTCAGCAGGGTTTTTTTCACGCGGAGACTCGAAGTATCTGTCTGTCTCTCTCTCTACTCCCTCTCACTCTGTCTCTCTCCCACAACACACACACACTCGACAGAAAATTTGTTGGGACCAAGGGTGAAACATCCGTCGCTCACATTTCAATACTGCAAACTGCGATAAGAAACTGATAGCCTGGAATGTGTCGAGTGCAGTATCCTCGGTCTGTGCAAAACCCAATGGTTGGGGCCGAACCGTAAACGCCCTTGGGTCGAAACGCTGACCTCCGGAAGCTAAGCTGGCTACGCAACGGCGCCGCAGCCCTCGCTGCTCTTACAATGCGGCAACTTATACGACAGTTCCCAGAACGGAAGTTTATTGGTACGGAAAGGGGATTCCCTTTGGAAATATTCATTATTCGATTCTGGTTTCACAAACTTCTACTGCTTTGGTATGATTCTTAGGAACTCAAAAGTTTTAAAACGTGTTTGATATTTGCTAATAATATGTTTATAAACATTTTAAGCCGACCTGGATGGCTAGAGCGTGTGCCGACCCAGTGGCTCGGTCGGAAAGGTCGCGGGTTCGAGTTATGTATGGGTGTTATCGCGGAGACCTTGTGAGTCTGGTGACCATACACTGAAGAGCCCACAAGTGTGTCAGTGACTAGTGCAGGGGTTTTCAATATTTTTTTCGTCCACGACGCCTTTGACCTACATGAAACTTTCTGCTGCTCCCCTGGTAACAATAGTTTCAAATATTATTAAGGGCTAATATAGATGAAATGAGTAAGTGATATAATAGGCTATTTGTAAAGGACTTGCCAGATTCAATTAATCCACAATTAATTAGTAAAATAAACATATATATTACAAATAACATATAGTATGATAGTATAAAATTATTTTGTAGACATAAATGTCACAAGGATTAAAGCAAATCAAACTTAAAGATCATTTTTAATAAATCGCCGCGATCCTCCTGGGAGCCGCGACGCCATTTGAAAAGCCCTGGTCTAGTGTAAATGTGTCCCCAAGAGAGTAATACCCGGCGCGGAGAGTCGAAAAACGGCATCCCCTGAATCTGCAAAGAGCTTACGAAAAAAATTATAAACATTTTACATGATTGTGGTCATTTAATCAAGTTATAAAACGTTAATCTGGGCTGAGTTAGCAATATCGGTGTCTCTGATGCGACTCTGACTTGTATGGTTCGAATATCAACGGTGGCGTAATTTTCAACACTAGCTTAATTTAGCTAGGTGAAATTGAGCCACTATATAGAGAAGAATTCTAGAGGCCGGCAGCTCCGATCGGTAGTTTTCCGTGATTTTCTGATTAATTACAGGCGAATAGCGGAGCAGTACTCTATCAAACGGGCCGCAAGCGTTCCTTCCTTCCTCCTCTTTTTCCCAATCTCTCTCCTTACTCACACACTCACATGCATTACACTACCACACTTATCTGAACATCATTCGAGAAAAATTTGTTCATCTCGAAGAGATTCTTGAAGTGGGAAGTCCCCTGAAAGCCGACATGTAGATCACCGCCGATCTTACGATCTAGCGTTGGAGAAACACCTTCACCTCCAGTAAAAAAAACATTTACTTAGGGGACTGACAGTTGACGTGGAAACAAAAACATCAATAAATTCTCAGAAGCCGGTGTTCCTCTCCCGCTAGGATGTGAAATGCTAGGATGCGAATTAAATGTCGGCTTCAGGAGTATTCTTTCCCTCGAAATATATCCCGATCAGTCGGAACCTAGATCAGTGTAGGCTACGACTGGTCTTCAGATATATCTAATAGGGCAGTGCGAGAAAGAGTGGTGTACTAAGGCGAAAAGGTAACGCGCTATCAATGGCCCGTTTGTCAAAGTATTACTCCGTATTCGCCTGGTACTAATCGGAATAAACATAGAATAAGCATAGTATTGAAAAATCAGACGGCTAGACGAGGAAAATCAAAAATTCACCACCGCCGAGCATAGAAACTTTGGACCTCCCGGTTAGAAACTCCGCAGTATGAATAGTTTGTTCCGCTGATCCTTCTCAGCGGTAAAGTTACCATTTCCCCAAAAATACCGGTATAATACCTTTAAATAGGAATATTTTACCGCTGTAGACGTCCGACAAACGTGAAATACCTCTAAAATTTCCGGATTTTGAAGTCGTACAACCGTATTTTTAAAGGTGATTCGAATAAACGTATTATAGATGTAAATTTCGGTATTCGGTCCCTGATTAAAAGGTTGACAGACCCATTGCTACTTGTTCATTTGTCTCTCAGCGCTTCTGCAAAAGATGATTCACACTTTCTTTGGTTTTTTGAATTGCGCTTTCCCGATCTTCGTTCGTTCGCCGTCCGTTGACTTCTTGCTCTTGGGAGAGAGTAGTTTTAAATTTTTCCTTTCTAGAGCAAACACTACCAGTTTGTTCTATACGCCGATGTTATGCACAGGGCTCCTTTCCTCTGATCCGTCTGCATTTTCCTTCAGAAATATTGTTTTAGTGGGCTTCTGTCCACATCGCAGCTGCATTATGCATTTTCGAGGGAATTGGTCGTGGTAGTGGTGGTCGTCGTCGTTGTAGTAGCAGTACAAAAACTGTACCTGTATGTCATTATAAAAATGTCCTGATTTTTTGAACTAGGTCTTTAGTAACCCAACACTGGAGTGTTTATCGCCGTGCAATGGAATACGCCGGCCGGATGAGTCACTATGAGCGAGCTCTCAATTAGACGCGCTAACATTGGCAAATCCTTTTCGTTGTTTCAAGGCTACTTAACCGTTGTTTTTTAGTGTTACTATAAATCATCAGTAGAGTTTACCTAATATTCAATTCTTTTCCAAAATGTTGAAAATTCAAAATGTTTATAATTTTGTTTGCTCCTCCCGCCCCAAATAGAGACCAAAAGCCACGCCATTGTCTTCCCTCCATTGAGCCGCCTATCAATCCTCTCCTATATTGTACATAATGTTTTAAAATAAAAGTAACAATGAATACACAAAGTATTAATTTCTAAATAATAAGTAAATTTCATTATAATTTCTTCCGTATGTTCCGAGTTAATTTTTTAGCAATTAAGTTCTGGAGCATTGCAAAAAAGTTCATTTATTAATTCATTTTGTTATAATGCACATTTTCATAAAAATATATATAGGTTGCTTGTCTCAAGGAACATTGCACACAGTCAGTTTCTGGTGTAAACCTGAAAACATTTTTTGAGTTCATCCCACCTAATGAATTCTTATACAGTTGGCAAAGGCATTAAGGAATCAAAAACAAAAGAATAAAATAATTTCTTTATTGCATTTTTAATGTTGTCTGGAGAACACAATTAAAACAATATATTAAGAGTTTCAGGGTACTTCAATGTGGAGGGAAAACTATAAATTGCACACAGTAATAAATATAGGCCATAAAAAATAGGGGGGACTACTTTTCTTAGACCCCTTTACCATTAACCTTTTTTATTTACATATGATATTCTACTTTATTACAAAATAAATAAAACATACAAGGAATACCTATGACATTTTAATGGTTTTATAACAATTTCCCCACAAAGTCAGGTTAAAAAAGAAGGAACTCAAAGTCTAAACATGTTTATGGAAATGAAAAGTTTTATTATATAAGTCAACAGGCCCCTTTTAAAAATTTTCAGGGGAGCCATGGTTTCCCTGTGCAAACATGATAAGAGTTGTTTCATAAAAATATTGTACACAATTCAACAGTTTTAAAACTTAATAATGTGGGGTACGCTAAAATATTTTTCTTTTTGTACACAATCACAGATCTTGGAAATAGATTTAAACATTTTAATGATTCACTTACATATTAATTTTACAACCCCTTATCCCCTCTACAATTATGTAACAATTTATCTGAACACTTTGAGAACAAAAAATTCTTGCTTTTTAGTTTCTTTGGAGTTTTCCTTTGAATATATACACCAGACCAAAGAAACAATGTTGAATATTGCAAAATTAAAAATGTTCTTATATGCACTTTTTACACCATTTGGAGCAAGAGGTTTATTCTACTCTAAAGAGTAATCCATTGAACTAACTGAATAATCTGTAAAAACTGAAACAACCAAGACAATCTGTAAGGTTTTGAATCTTCACGAGATTCTTCATCACTGGGCATGTGACCTGGGTATAGTAATGTTTGTGTTAAGGGACAATTGGATATAATTTTATTTGAGTTGTTTTTAAGACCCTTCACTCCATCACAGTCAATTAATTTCAGAGACTTGTCAAAACATATTCGAATCTCAAAGAGGTACCACCTTCCAGTTTTCTGAAAGATAAAATTGAATGCACTTGTTAAGTAGGTACATAAAATACATATGCATGTATACAATATATACATATGTGCTATTTTTTAAATTACTTATAAAACATACTTTATCTTTGACACACTGAACATCTGGATTTGTGCCAAGGCTTCCTTTAACAGCATTCCAAATTTGCTGTGGGGTATATCCCATATTATCAGGGTTTATTCCAGCTCGTGCTAATATGTTCTCCATAGTATACATGTGTATCCACTCTAGTCCTTTGGAAAAGTATTTGATTTCAGTGTCCAATGGTTCTAGAATAGCTGCACATGTTCCATGTTTATTCCATTCATGCTTCCAAAGTCCAGTTGTGCTTCCATTATATATATCAGGCCAATAGGTTAATAAGTTATTTTCAATTGGTTCTAGCTTTTGAGGATCAAAATGAAGAGAATGGTTGCAGAATAGAGGGCCTATTGTGCCCACTTTTGTAGGCCTGTAAAATAAAAATATGCACGTCAATAACTTTTCTTTTCCAATTCTTCAGCCCACTGTTTGGGGAGGAGAAGGAAACACCTTACATGCTGGTCAACTTTCACACAAGAATATTAATTATGAAATAATGACGACAATTTACAAATGCATTCCTCTCACAGCATTAATGCAAATGCAAACTAGCAACACTTAGTCCTGCTTGACAGAACTTCAAGTGCTCTGGACACGGAAGGTGAATTCTAAAGAAAGACAATTTATTATAAAATCTCAAACCAAGCAATCACCTGAGATGAATTGGATACTTTTTTCCTTTCAATATTATTTAATCATAAGTTGGGAGCAAATTGTCATGAAATGTCTTTTTTTTCCACTTTAAAACAATACCTTTTTGTATAGTCATTATTTTTATGTTATGACAAAAGGAAATGACCCCATTTTTATATGTTTTTTTTGTATTTTTCTTTGATTTCAACTAATAAGTAATTTTTTACCCTTTTCCGTCATTTTTAAAGCATTTTTCACTGGTTTCATCGATTTTAATATCATTTTAATGTTACTTGCTTTAAATAATATTTACAAGACGCAACAAATGTTTTCCACAGTATTTCTGAGTAGCCTATTTGATTTCTTTGCCCAGAAATTGTAACATCAGCCGTTGTGAGTATGTAAGATCAAGTTCCTGTGATGTCTATCAGCACCATTGCCAGTTCATGTGATGTCGTGATAACAAAAGACAGGTTTTGTGGTAAAGCAAAAGTTTGCAAGCTGAATTAACTTGAACAAAAGAAAGAAGCCTTGATTACTGAAGTTTACCAATCCAACAGCTTGACTTGTTCATCTGAACTGGTATTGATAAAATTTTTGGCTAAAGGAAAAACAATTACATTTTAAAAATATTTTAAAGAGCATTTAATTGCTCATTTTTGACAATGTTTAAGGTCATCAAAATCTGGCCCTTAATCATAAGATATAAAGTCATATTCAGATTTCCTGTTACTATATAATCTGTTTTGATTCATCATGAGTAAAGTCCAGATCAGTATGAAAATGCATTTTTTAACCCTCTTTTGCACATTGTTACATTGACATAACAAACCTATTTTATGTCTTTTATTTTCCATTAATGAAGTTTAGACCACTGTACATCATTGTACTTGAAAGTAACAATATGGTGGCACAATCTGTGAGGCAAAGAACTGTGAGTTATTCAAATTTCCATCACCAGATATCACTGTGAGTCACTAGGTGACCAGGTGAGCCATTGCTGAACTAGTGTTTTTTTCACACGTGTTTACAGTGCTTATTTATGTCCTTATACTTTTGAAAAAATCAATAGTGATAGAATTAAGGTTTATTTACTCCTATAAATGCTTATGAATTAGACAATATTAATTTAGTACGTATTTAAATAGAATGTGTATTTGTTTCCTTGACGTAACATTGAGCCCCTATGTAACGTGACCTCACTCATCTTCAGGTGGAATGAATAGAATGCCCCAGTGTTGTGCTGAATTACAACAAATGCATGAGCAGTGTTGATTGAATGGATTCACTGAAAGCATTATATCGCAGTAAAATCAGACCTACAAAAAATCTCTTGTATCTCACTATCGTCAATGCATGGCCGCTTGCAGAAGAGATTGTAAAGCTTGCAGGATAGGAATAAGAAATTAACAATCCTCCTAGATTCCAAGTCTGTGAATACAAAACAAGGAGACACAGACAAAAGAGGAATACCAACATAATAATTGTTGGAAAAAGAAATTGAAAAAACGAAAAAAGGACCCATGTGTATCATACCAGAGAAAGAAGTAAGGAGGAATGAGATAGGCCACTGGCCTCATTTTTCTGATGAGACCACTGTACGAAACCTATTTCAACAGGAATCCCAACAGTAAAATCTTCACAATGCGGCCTTGCCACCCTTCAACTGCTTTGTTCAATTTCAAATAAAATATAATATTTTACGATTTGTTATTCTCTTCCTTGTATACTAATTTTACTAGTAAAAGAATAAATAAATTATATGTTTATTTTGCGCAGAGATGAACATTTTACCTATTTTACTAATAAACTACGAATTTCTAACAATTAAACTGGTTTCCTTTTTACAAATGTATATTTACCGAAAGAACATGTTCCCCAAAGAATTACTTACTTCTGGACACAACTGCCCAATGTTACTTCAAAGTAACAAAGCAGTTTTAAAATATTAAAACTTGAAAAAAAGTTTCTAAAAGTATTCTAGTTTTTCAAGAAGTAATGTAAGACTTTTCGCACATATATATTTTTTTTGATACCCAAATAAAAATTTGGGCAGAAGAGGGTTAAAGTAGTAATTAGTACTTGGAAAATGATCAAATTTATTTTATCTAAATTTTTATTGTCTATGAAATGTGAGGTCAAGATTGAGGATGTGTTCATATTTCTCATACTACACTGATTATATGTTAAATGAACACATTCAGGTTGAAAAATAATTGTACCAAAAATGCAATAGTTAACAACACTTTCATTGATTTCATTTTTACAAAGAATTTTGAAGACCTGAAAATGGAAGTAAATTCACGCTCTTGAAACATTGTAAGATAATAAAATACAATATAATCAAGTTTCTTCACAAGGCAGACCATTTAGACTCTTCTTGCCAATTTCTTTACTTATTTTGCTAATTTTAGAGATACTGCTTATTAGCAAAGTGTTTGAAAATTAGAAAAATATTGGTAATAATGTTTAATATTTTTTGTATTTTGTGCTTGTGACAATTTATGTGCATGCCATGTTTTGAATAATTCAAAATATGAAATGGAATAAGTCTTAGAAAACATATCTTTTTCTGAAGTCAAACTACAAGTGCTTCTTGCAACTGGAAAATGTTGTGATTTGTATTTTTCCCAGTTCATATAGCATCCTGCAATGGTCAATTAGGCATTTCCTTTCAAGCTAAACTTCCTTTACAACTGCATTACAAATGAACAATTAAAAATGGGCATTTTTCATCAACAACAATGAACAGAAGCAGTACAAGAAGAAGACAAACAGGAACAAGAACAAGAAGATGAAGATGAATAACAACAAGCATCTGCGAAGGTTCCCATTACAATACCTAGAGATCTGCCATGTGTAGCATTGTCAAAGTGTGGTAGGAATACTTATACAGAGGGGGTCAAATACTGTATTATGATGGGTGTTTTTATCACGTTTGTGACATGTTAGCCATTTCATAATTCCATGTATCTCTTCCCCAACCACCACTGACTGATTGATAATTGTGTTGCCGGGCACATCCACTACTAAGATCATTGATGCATGAGACCCCTTATAGTAGTACATCTGTCATTCCAGAAGGTGGCGGTATGCCTTCTCCGCTGAACCGTTAGATCCGGCGCCGACCTACAGGTCGGAATGTGTGTTACCCCATCAATGTATCTCCCCTAGAACCCCAGCCGAGAAAAGCTTTAAGCTTCCAACTGGTCTCTGGATATTTGTGGTTGTATAGTGCATGTAAGCGAGAGTGTGTGCAAGGGGGTAAGGCAACACAATCAGGGCTAAAACGTGCGCGGTCCGTGACCCCTTTGTTAAGGTATTGCGCAGGCATTCGCATTGATTGATGGGTTAGAGATTCCGGGCGCATCAACTGCTAAGGTCATTTAGTAACGTTTACTGCACGATTTCATCCCGAAAGATGGCGGTGTTATTCCCACGCTGGCTGGCGAGATCCGGCGCCGATCTACGTGAGCTTGCGGGGATTTCCCGACCAAGTATCTGCCACCAGCGGGGTATAACCCCAGCCGGGACAAGCTCACACCTCCCGGCGGGTCTCTCGACGAGTGTGGTAGTGTAGTGCGGGTGTGTAAGTATTGGGTGTGAATAGGACAAGGATGAGGAAGGAAAGATCGCCGATCCATGGCCTGTTTGATAATGGCTGATGATGGCTGCTCCGTTATTCATTGATGTTGATCGGAGAAACCCCGGAAAACTACCGATCAGAATTCTCCTCCGGACAGCGACTGAATTCGACCCAGCTAACAAGGCAGTGTTGAAAAACCTGCCATAGTCGGGACTCGAACCTAGGACCTCCCCGCTCAGAGGGACTGCAGTGACATCAGTTGATGCCTTGAGCCACCTTTGACGGTATTCGGCATTCGCCTAGTACAGATCGGAAAAACCTACAAAAACTTCTAATCAGAGCATCCGGTCGCTAGAATTGTCATCGTCAGCCGCTGAATTCGACGTAGCTTCTCTCGAAAATCAGCCATATTCGATACTTGAACACTAGCTTCTCCCGATACGCGATGCTGCCCCTGAAACATCCCAGACGGTCATATCATCGCCAGTTTCTCTTGTAGTCGTAGAGAAGGGCTGACATGGTTTCGGCGCATAATGAAATAGAAACTGGCTGCCATGTCCTTTGCCTGTACAAGTATGTAGTAAATCAGGGTTGTTCAAGTGGCGGCCTGTGGGATTCCATTTCAGAGCAGCCGGGTAAAGTGCTGAAGCGGGATGTCAGATGTGGATCGCGCGATTCATGAAAATATAGCCCACAACCATATTAAAGGTTTTAATTACGACCCTTGAGGCCTTGCAAGTTGGACACCCCAGTAGTAACGGAATCTTATCAAACACTACATGGAAACATTGTGAAATAAGATCAAAGTAACATTTCTGTATAAAACTATTCTCACAAGAAACTGAGTATCAAGGAAGGAATATTCCAGAAATATAGTCCTAGTCCTTTATGGTTTCATTTGAAAATAATCTTCCAGAGATTCAGGAACGGGATATGAAATCAACAAAAATATATAAATATTTTATCATCAGTTCTATGTGATGTATAATCATAAACTGTACGCAAGAAACAAGCTAGTGGTGTTACAATAGCACAAACTTTCTCGCATTAATTGCAACAGATACGCAGTATTTTAATACAACATGAACCTGCAAAAGAGTTTTCAACTTCCAATTTTTTTTTCTCCACGCTGAGATTCGAGCTCAGAACTT